TTTGGTAAGGGGGCAGGTTGAGTGTTAAGAAGCTCATTTGCAACACTGTCAGGAAGGTCTTTAGTTGTTGAAGGTCCCGTGCCCAGAACTGATAAGGAACATTCTGGTCGATTTTGTGCCCCCTCAAGGTTTATGTTTTTCTCAAGAATTGGAAGACATGCCACTTGGTCTTTGGATAACTGCATAGTTCCAGAAAAGATGGCTAACATCAACATTATCACACCAATGTAATCCATGAACACGTCCCACCATGGTTTCAGAATGCGATAAGTTGGCTGGATGTCATTAAGGGAGGCAACTTCAGTAAGACTAAACATCCCTGTAATAAAGAGGAGTCCAGTGAGTGCATATATAAAGTCAGTGCATGCCTGAACAAAATTAGCTCGAGTCTATTAATTCATGTCTCATAATTTCGTAATGTTAATGACGATGCACAGATTTGAAAGTACTGGCTGTTTACTCCAAAATAAAAAGAAAGTACTGTATTATAATGAGTAGATTTCCATTTAGTCTTTTAGCAGATCCTTTCTGTGACTTGTGTGTATATAAACGAGTGAGTTAAACCATACAGAGTGTGTACGAACTCTGCACTATTCATCAAATACCTGTTAGCCACATGTGGCTTCAAGTTACAACATGAAAGGTCCGAACCATCTCAAGAGTGTGTTATGTTTGCAGTGGCACTTCACTGTGATGTCTTACATGTTCATGTGGCACGAGAAGCACGACAGATATGTTTTCTTGATTCCAGGTTAAACGTTTGTAGCTGCCAATGTGGTATTAATAGCTCAATTTAACGTTATTCCCAGTGGCATGTACACAGCTCGAGCCCGGGTTGATTTGATGTCTGCTATTTTCTCAGACTGGTGCGTGAGAAATAAGAGTCTACAAGCAAAAGGCAGCTGTTGTTCATTAGAATTGTCTGTGTTAACTATTTACAGGTTTTAAGAAATCTATAAACTAAGAAGCCCACAGTTCTGGCTTTGGGCTGATTACATAAACTGGGTCTTTTCCACTAAAAGATGTCAATATGTTTTAAATTACTTTTTAATTGTATTTATTTATTTTACGTTTTTTGTTTATTTCACCATAAACTGCTTACAGTTTCAATAAGTCTGATTTGCACAATAAATATTTAAGCAATTGTTGATTTAATTCTGTTAAGAAATTTGTATTGGAACACAAAAATACAGCTTTTTTGTTGCTGTTGTTTCGTATTATTTGCAAGGCATAAAACATTTGCTTTGGTTTTACAATGCTTTGGTTTAAAACCTGAGTTTTTTTTTTTTGACAAATCAAGTTAAGACTTGCAGAAAACATTAAAACATTTTGTAAGTGAGGGACCATGTTTAAAATAACATACACTGAAAATATTGTTTAATGTTGGTAAATTGTATAAGAAACAAAAAAACCTGACACATCTCATGGTCAAGTTGATCAATATCCTAAAAAACTGATGGTCCTGTTTTTGATATTACTATTAACTATATTATTGTTTGTTGATGGAGATTTTTTTTATTAATAAACATGATATTAGCATGCAGAACTTTCAAAAGAATGTAGTCTTGAAAACTTAATAAATAATAGCTTTAACTTATAGAAAAAAAAAGAGTAATGCACCAATTTAGTGGATGACCCAGTAAATTCGAAACGTGTCCAGGTTGTTCTGAAATGGCTATTATTAGGCTAATGAAACATTGCCTCAAATAGAAATATTCTCACATGTATAATAAAGTTAGGCTACATGATGGATCTGCTTTAGAGAGAAAAAAATACACAGTCTAAACGCGAAACTGCACTATAATAACCTGGCTGAAACCCATGGGGATAATATACCAATTATATTCTAGGAAGTATGAATAAAAGAGTCATGAAGACCCAGATAAAACCATAAAACGGTCAACTTACTGTCTGCCTACTGTCTCCGTCAGTGAAAGTCCTCGCTGTCGTTCTTCGTAGACACTAGATTTGTCAAAAGTTGTCGTTGAGCAGGAAACGGGCTGCAAAAGACAAAAACATAATCGCTACCAAACAATTCCCTTTCAGAACAATATTGTAATGTCCGTCAAGCGCTGTTCACGCTGTCCAGAGAAGTCTGAACTCGGCGGTAGCATTGAAATATGCGACTCTTTGTCCGACCTGCTCCGACTTGTAGTTCAGCAGTCAAAATGACGGAGCTGTTCCGCTCGTCAACTGCGTCTTTCATTGGACGGTGACAGCGCTGCGTTTATGAAGCCACTGGATAATAAAGGTGAGGGATCAAACCTCTTGAAGACGTTCCCTGTGCGCGAGGTAGTGCCTCAGATAAAGGTGCTTTTATATTATAGGTGGAGTTTGTGAAGTATTGTACAGTTTGGACAGTCAGCAGTCATTACCGTGTAATAATTAAGACTAACCCATTGCACTCTTTCTTCGGTTTTTTCTTGTTTTTTGAGGAAACTAGGACCCAGATGCGTAGGTAGAAAGTGCAGCATTGTTTGGCTGGCACAGTGCAGGAAATGTCTTGGTGACTAAACCAACCCAGCCTAAATGTGCGTTTTTTTCCCTCCAAGTTTCAGCTAGTTTTGTAAGAGGAACTTTATATTTCCTGCTGAATCATGGTCACGTTGATTTTGTCTTTCTTTCTTCTTTCTTTATTTTTTTCAGTGGAATTACCACAGGAATTATAATTTATTTTAGTAATATTTTAATTCCATATTTTATATAGTAATCATGATCATATTTATAAAGCCATTATAGTTAGGAGAAAAAAATGAAAATCTGTCATAATTTCACCTTCCACCTTGTTTAAACAAAATAAGATATTTTGAAGATTGCTGAAAACCACTGACTTAGTAATGTTTTCCCCTCATCATTCTTCACAGCTTATTTTCAGAGTTGAAATCACAAACTTTCATTTTTGGGTGAATTCATTTACTAATTAATTAGCATGGACTCAAAAACCCGTACTTTAGCCAAAGACTATGTAATACAGGGAATTTGCTTTAACCTCACTTAAGCTAGTGTCATTTTAAATGTATTGCAGTAGAGATTTATTTGGTCTCATTTTTAGATCAAGTCTAAAGTGCTGAAGTGGAAAATGTTATAAACCTAATAAAACAAGTTCTACAGATCTATATTAAAGTATTGTTTTTTAAAAGCTAAAACAATGTAACAATTTTTCCAAAAAAAATCAAATAAAAATTTCTGTTTAAAATAAAAAATTATTATCTGTCAAAAATAATCTAAGATCAGCATTAATTATTTTTTATATCATAATTAATCGCGTGGGTTTCCCCCGGGTGCTCTGGCATCCGCTGCATAAAACATATGCTGGATAAGTTGGCGCTTCATTCCGCTGTGGCGACCCCAGATTAATAAAGGGACTAAGCTGAAAATAAAATTAATAAAATAATTAATCATGATTTTAGTTATATAGTTATAATCATGCACACTATAATTTATGTGAAGACGTTCTCCCCACAGAAGGCCACACGTCAACACAAAATGACCTACATTTTTTACAGTTCTATTTTTTCTTTTACATTTGCAGTTGGCATTAAAATATACAAGATATATCATCGCTTGTTTACCATTTCATGTACTCGTTTAGTACTCAAGTATTTTTAGAAAGAAACAGATCATAACTTTAGAGACATATGAATGTTCTCGCAGCATGATTATAGAAGAGCCCAACCCTTGAGGTTTAAGAGTACACCAGCTGAACTCTTAATGACTATGTATGACACATTTGCGTTATAAGGCACAAGTGAATAATGAATTTAAGGATGGTATATCATTTTTCAATAGAGCATAATTGATGTGGAATATTAAAAGCCTAAGCTGTAAAACATGACAGATAGTTTTAAAATGAGGCATGCAATTCACATTTATTTTCCATTATTAGTCAAATTAAAGCCACGTGTAGTTTAGCACATGTGTGAGTCAGTCCAGACATGAAATGTATTGTTCTATACATCTTAAAACTGATTTTTTTTTAAATAATTAGATGGTTAGATCTATATTGTACTTTTGTACAATGATTTTTTTTATATTTTAATGACATCTGAACATTAAAAATGTTTTGAGCCTCTATTTAACCTACTTGTCAGTTTAATACTTAATGATATTTTTCAAATAAATTTTAGATTAACTTTAAACTATAGCTATTTATACTATAGCTATAATACTGACATGTTTTCCAAAAAAAAAAAAAAAAAAAACAATTTTTAAAAGAACAATAATGGTAGAATTTTACTGCTGAAAAAAGAAGGCATATGTTGGTAAGGTATGTTTTGATGCTGGTTTGCTGTTCTTGCACTGAAACCAGCAAGACCAGCATCGAGACCAGCAAAACCAGCACTGAAACCAGCATACCAGCATCAAACACCATCATATGCTGTTTTCTTTCGACAGGGTTTACAGTTTGCTTCAACTTACAATGTTAAGGAAACAATATGTGGAACAAATTAAAAGACCACTTGTTTTGCTGAACTTATTATGTGTGAGTTTTAGAAAAATGCTGTTATCACATTACTCTAAAAAGGTCTGATAACATTCTTTCCCAATTAAAAAAAAAACATCTGTCATTAAGAGCTCTATTTATCATGAATCATTTTCAGAATAACAATTGTTTGTTACATTGGTACTGCCTTGTTGCTGTGATGTCTAAAATGAATATGAATATGTCACCTTTTAGCTAGCCTACTTTTTCTTAAAATTTGGACGAAATGCCAACCATCACAGAATAAAACAGAAATTATGTTTTAGCCAAACATTATGCATCGTGAATCCAAGGAGATATTTTTTATAGAAACATATAACGTACATGTTTTAATTCAAAACGCAGACAAACTTAATGAAAATACGACATGTATCTAAAAAAACTACAAATGGGGGAACATGAATAAGTTTTGTCGAATCAAAAATGTGAAAAATTGAACCTTGTTGCACCCCGTTCTTTCTTTGTACACGTGACCTACAAAACCTATAAATAGAGGTAGCGGGCGTCCATTGTGTTCACCAGAGAGTCACTGCCGTGGACAACAGACAGAAACAGTATGGCGTCAACGAGCCGGTTGGTTTCATTTCTGATGGTTTTCTATCGCTTCTCTGTCTGTCTGATATCGGTCTGTAAACGCACGTTATAGATGAGCTTTGATTCTATCCGCTGTGCTCTCTGGGCTTTTATTAGCTGTTTGTTGTCGCTGTGACGCGTATGAAAGCCTCAGGAAAACACGAACGCTGTCATTTTCTGCTAGCGCACGTTGTTTGTGTTTTCGTATCATGTGAAACGAGACAAAGCGACAGCTGCTGGAGCTGTAAATAACGTTAAAAGACGAGTCGTCAGGGTTGTTGTCTCAGGTCTTTGTGGAGGCTTGAAATGCTTGTCAAATGTGAACCGAGCAACAGTCATCAGAGAGCTAACAGCGCTAACTGCTCCACATCAACAACTCAGGAAGTCTTGCCTGGTGTAGTGACAAATTATTGTTCTTATTTAATAATTTATGCCAATAATAAACAATCATTTATTCTAGTTAATGCCTTCGTTTTTTAGGCTTTTTCACTACTGTAGATGTTGTATTTGAACAGAAACGGGAAGTTTTTATGGGTCAGTTTCAATGTTTTCTTTTGTATAAAATAATCAAATAAAAATAATAATTTGCTTTTGAATAAGGTGTTTTGTGGTGTAGAGTTACTTTACAAATACCTTCATCAATTAACATTAGCTTATGGATTATCTAAGATCACAATGAGCCTAATGAACTTAATTCTTTTTGGTGTTAATATTTATTGTCTTTATCATAATAGTTGAACATACAATTGTTTGTGGTTCATAGCAGTTCTCTGAAAATTAGGCTAATGCCTTATTAAAGTTAAGAATAGTATTTGTTGATGTTAAAATCGTTGGTAATTAAGACTGAGAGTTTAGAATTATTTTTCATGTCATGTAACTTAGTTAGCTATAGGATTGAGGTATAATTGGTTTTATACTCGCACATAGGCATGGGCCAATATAAGTTTCTGATGGTATATGATAACCTTGGATAAAATTACCACAGTTTTATTGGATCACAGTATTGTGATTACTGCTCTAAAATAAGGTCTTTTTAAATGTTTGGGTAAAAAAGAAAAAAAAAAATTTTTAAAGGCTTGTACTATATTTTGGAACAGTAAACATGTAAGGCTAAACAGTTAAATCATTGATTTCTGCTGTCTTCATTAGTTTCAAAAACAGATTTATAAAAAAAAAATGCAGTTGGAGTCGAAAAACCTTACATATACCATAGCAATGGTATAACAGAACATTTTAGCAGTATTAAAACCTTGACTTTTCCTAACTGCTGTAAACCTTGAAACCGGTTATCTTCTCATGCCTATTCACACATTTGTTTATATTTGAACAGTGACCACTTGTTCTGTTGTTTACCACTCTACTTTGATTATACAGACTGAAACTGCTTGTAAATATGAATTCAGTACAACATTAACCCTATTTACTTGATTGTGAACAATGTTGTGCGTTCATAGTCATTGGCTGCTAATATGATTTCACTATTTCAATCATGTTGATGATACTTCATTGAGATTATATAATTAAAGAGAAAGTCAGAGTGTGCAAACTAAATATAAAACTAACTGTACTTAAATAGCATGGTCATGATTATTCATTAGTTGCATTTTTTACGGTTATACACTGTAATCAATCTATCTAAGAGAACTGCAGTTGGATGTTCAGTGACATTTTGGCTTTCAAATATAGAAGATAAAAGCTTGTAAGCGAATATTAGTCATTTTGCTTCAGTTTTATTGTTGTTGAAAAATATTTCAATTACAACAAAGAGAGAAGTATTTTAGCCTATTGATTTTTATTTTATAGTTTTATGGAAAAGCACATGCGCCTAAGAAAATCAGTATAGTGCAGTAGTAAAATAATGAAAGTTAAAAAAATATCTTTCATTATATTTTAGATGCAGCATAAATGAGCAAAATGGTGAATTAAATCATTCATGTACACTTAATAACTGATTGAAATGTTAATTGGAAAACTCCAGAATAGTTACTGGGGTTATTACTAGACTTTTAAACTGTTATAACTTAAAAAAATAATTAAAATTGAAAACAATGCCAGTGAAGTAGGGGTTACACAATATATAATTTCAGCATCGATATCGCAATATGATCATTCGCAATAGTCACATCGCGAGCATACACAATGTTGAGTCTGGATTATAATTCATAATTTTGATGTGTTGTTGATGCCTGTGATTGTATTATGACCTTTAAAGCATTCAGGCACAATAAATTGTACCATTTGTAACTTTAACAATGATTAATTTTATTAAATTATTTTTATCTTTCAGTTACTTTACTTGAATACTGTTAGACTCTGAAAATGATGAAACACTTTTTCCTGATTATATTTAGAGATTGTTATGCATGAAATAAATACAGAAATGCAATAGCACAGCCCACATCGAACATGTGTCGGGGGACCCTAAAAAGTTTATAAATTGTTTATTAGATTTTATAGAGATGCACTCCCACTGCAGAATCATCCCAATCGATTTAACATTATACTTTCTTTCCAAATAGAGATTTTTAAGTTATCTGGTGAAATTGTATTCATATCACAAAATAAAAAAAATATATATTGCATTGCTAGATGTTTTGAATATTGTGCAGTCCTACAATGAAGTGACATTAGATGGTTCTTCTCCTGATATTCCTTCCCAGCTATTTTCACTAGATTTTATTTCTATAAAAATGATCATCTGAGCATGCCTAAAATGTTTTTCTGTATCTAAATCTACTGGCAAGCAATTTATATCAAATGTCAATACTCTTTAAAAGTGTTTTTTTCTGACCTCTGAGATCTGAATTTTGTATTTCTCAGTGGAGACTCTCTTCCCAAAGTGCAATGCCCGAATCACCCCGATGCCCTGCTGGTGGAGGACTACAGGGCAGGAGACATGATCTGTCCTGAATGTGGCCTTGTAGTAGGTATGAGTTTCAACCTGCTTCTGAATTATACAGCTGGATGTTTTCATCACTAATGTAAACAGTAAGACAATGAACGCGCCTTCGCTTTCTATGGCAGGAGACCGTGTAATTGATGTGGGGTCAGAGTGGAGAACGTTCTCCAATGAGAAGGCAACCAAAGATCCGTCTCGTGTTGGCGATGCTCAAAACCCTCTTCTCAATGGAGGAGACCTCACTACCATGATCAGCAAGGTAGGGATTTATCCACTAATGATTATTAAAAAAAGTATCTGTATTTTTTTCTTTTATTGTCTTGACTGTCTGGAAAGAAATCTTGATATAAGCAATGATTAAAGTGTTATAGTTTAAAAAATAATTGATTATAATAAGTATTTATTAATGTCCTGGGCCTGACCAGGGTAGCAGTCCAGACAATGTGCAACTCGGTGCATGAAAACAAAAATAGTCGTCATATCCATTAGGCTATAATATGCAAGATTTGGGGGTAATGTTAAAAAACTGCTTTCCCATTGTTTTAGGTGAAAACTTAAATCAATCCATAAATTAGAAATGATTATGGTTTATCCTGGTTTAAAGACCTTTTTCTTCGTTGCTGCATGGCGGGCACCATTGTGACCAGCGCCTTATGGTTGGGTGCTTAGAACTTCCGTTAAGAATTGTTATCAGCTAGAGCAGCGTTTCTCAACTGGGTGTCAATACTGTTTTTAGTGGCCTACGGAGTGTTTTTGTGATGCGGTACTTTAATTTTGAAAGAAAGACGTGTGTTAAAGCCGTTATACTTCTGTCAGATGCAGTTCATGTGCAAGAGAAAAATGTTCTCCTAATTTAGTGTCTACCATTAGGTCAGATGCTAAAACATAGGGTCAGTGTTCTCGACCTGTCAGCTGTTATAATGTACTCTGCAGCTCCTCAATGCAAACACACACACACACACACACAGACGATACCTCACTGCATTATAAAGAGCAACCATATTACTGGCATGAAACTAGCAGGTATGCAAGTCATGCAATTTCCAAAAAAAATCAATAAAAATCTGTTACTGATAGTATTCTGGCTGTTTTGCATGTTGATTCTAATCAGGAGCAGTTATGTTTCGTTTAGTTAGTTTGTGTAGTGAAGTATGTACCACGATATGCGTTTCCTGCAATTTCAAAATGCCTCTTTATTTTCACTTTGTGCCACTCATTCAATTAATGTGTTTAACATTTTAAAGAATTACGTTTGTTTGGCTTGGTTGTATATTTGAAAAAAATAGAAAATGTTGACTTTAGTGATGACAGGGCTTCATTTAAACGGCACGATGCCATCTAACAGCAAGAGAAATATACCTCGCAGCAGTTGTTTTCCATCCCTTTAGATCCCTTTTATCAAATTTTCTAAATAAACAGTCCAGGAGGAGGGCCTGATCGACACCAGTATTGGTTCAAATACAATAAAAGCAAGTAAAATAGATTAAAACTATGACTTCAAAGCTGTCTGAATGTGACTCTTTTGTAAGTTCTTAGCATCCTCCTTGGCCATACACGCAAAGGAAAATGGTTAATTTTGCATTCTAAGAAAAAAGTCTATATGAAAAGGTGGCTCCATGAGGATTAGTGTATTTACTTTACACTTTATGAATATCAATAACATCAATGGGTGCTTTAACATTTTAATTACTTATATGATAATTTAAATGTATTGTTAATGTGCAATTATGTAAACAAACAGTTATTTGAACAGGAAACAAACTGAACAAACCAGGTTGCAGAAAAGACTTGAATTACCCTTTGCCTGAGGCTGTGGATTAAAGGTCATAATGTTATAAAGAATGTTCAGTTTCCTGCACAGACCAATAGTTTCAGTTCATATTTTTTTCGTTTTCTTTTTGAGTCTCAAAGTTTCAGCAGCTGTTGACTTGCATTTTATGAATCAGAAACACAGTTTCACTGGAAATCTTTTGTAACGATCTACTGACCAGAAAAATGTACCCATTTCACGGATGGCCTGAAGATGAGCACATTAACAGCAAGTTTGTTTCCTAAGAATTATTAGTTTGTTTGAAAACACAGTATAAAGCATTCTCTTTAAACATTCAACTTTAGTCATGCACTTTATCTGCAGCACCTCAATGGGATTTCTTGGCTATATGTCTTATTCATGTTATCCATAAATATTAATTATTTGCTGCTGTATTGTTGAATGTTTTCCACTCCCTGACATAATTAATTCATAGTCAAATTTATTGTCTTGTTTTTCATTATCAGACATTTTTGATGTTTAGGGATTAGTAGTTCCAGTCATACTTTATTAAAGACTATAGAATACACAAGACATGCCACTATGACAAGACATAGTTTTGAATTGGGAAAAGTGTAATGGTCAATATGGCGAATGAAGCCCCGTCTGCAAGTACAAGAGCCAATAAGCGATCGCTATAGCCTGAGGATTCTCTGGGAGAGAGGCTAGGACCAGATGTAAATTTCTGCAGATTTTGTGTGATTTAAACATTTAGAAATGAAGCTTAAGATTTTATTGTTTTTTCCTAATTTGAAATTTAATCGTAAGCTTAGCAAGCAATTTTGGAGAATTTGATGTTTCCCCATTTAAACAGAATGCCCAAGCATGCTGCCCGGGAGGCATCTCAAAGATGGCCGCTGAGTAAAATTTCTTGCTTTTTAAGGGACTTAATTTGACTTATTGTACTGACTTTTTAATTTTGAAAGTTTGATTTATAAATGTATGTTCTCACAAGTATTTTAAAATATTTTTCCTTCTGAAATGTCAGGGAACAGGTGCGGCAAGCTTTGATGAGTTTGGAAATTCCAAGTACCAGAATCGGAGAACCATGAGCAGCTCTGATCGAGCCATGCTCAATGCCTTCAAAGAGATCACCACCATGGCTGACAGGATCAACCTCCCCAGGAACATTATTGTGAGTGTCTGTTGTTGTTGAATTAGAGAATAATCTGGTTGCAGTTTAATTTAGCTCGGAAGCTTGTAACACAATATATGGCATTTTATTTCAATGTAATAGTTTTATTTTAGGTTATAATAGCAATAATGAAGTAACCTAAATAAGGTTTGTTTAAAGTTTATTTATAAAGTGCTCTACGCTAACTCAAGGTCACTATACAGAGAGATAATAAAATAGGACAGTGCACCAACAACAATGGTAGTTGAGAACATGACCACAGATAATATGACTATATAAATACATAAATAGAAATAAATGCTGAAAAAAAGAGGTCCAAGAACAGAACCTTGAGGGACAACGTGAGAGATATTGTGCATGTAAAAGATTGAAGTTATTGATCACAATGAAGAGTTGTTTTTCAGAATGATTGGCTATAAAACAGATGCCCTCTATATTGTGACATGACAAACTAAACATGATAGTGTGTAAATTAAAACAAAATGGGCAAATCATTATTTTACATTCACTTTAGTCTGTCTCTATTTATTAATCTTTGATGATATTCCCTCTTTTATATGCTTTTTTCACAACATGGCCCTTATGATGATGGTGGCTAACTTTGAGGTTTCAAATTTGGGGTTTCCCAAAAGTAAAAAAGTCATCCCAAAAGTTTGCTCTGTTGAAAATCTGTTTGAATTGAATTGTGTTTTTTGTCACAGGATCGAACAAACAACTTGTTCAAACAGGTTTATGAACAGAAGAGTCTGAAAGGCAGAAGTAATGATGCTATTGCTTCAGCCTGCCTCTACATCGCATGCAGACAGGAGGGCGTCCCAAGAACATTTAAAGGTAAAACCTGCATACTCTTTCACTGACTAATCTGCACCATTGCATTAATGATTCTAATGTGTTTTTATCATTAAAGGTGAAGAATGTCTTTTTTTTGCGTTAAGATGCTGGTTTCTATTTTGTATAATTTCTAAGTTAATTGTGGGGTGCAAAGCCACAAACATTGTGTCTCCATCTGGCTATCAAAGCATTGCTTTGTTTAAGCATCATAAGTAAAAATCCCGTAAATTTTTTCCATAGATAAATAAATTTTTAAAATGCTAATGACTTAAATATGCTTTTATTGAACACATCTGTTCATGTTAATTCAGTCATAATCATAATAATCATAAGCTTATAATCATGTTTAAAATTAAATAAGCGAAAAAAGAAGGGTACTTTAATGAGTTAATGTATGTATATCCATTTATTTTTTAGGTCACAAACTTGAAACTAATAATAGAACAAAGGACCAAGGCTGCTAAAATGTGCACTTTAATAGAATGAGTTTATTTGTTTGTGTGACCAATGGAAGGTAGAAGGAGTTTGCTGGAAAACCTTTTGGTTGTGAAACTGATTCCGGGAGGCTAGTGGAGCTAAAATGACATGCTTTAGGTTTGGGATTATGCAAGTTACCTCAATTTTTGGCTTTTTGTTATTCTAAGCCCAATTTTTAATCTAAAGTATGTTTTACATTTGAAATTAAGAAGGTGGGTTAACATTAGTAGAGCTCAGCCTCACAAACCTCATATACAGTGTTCTCAAGTTCAAACTGGTAGGGCCATATCAGTGACTGACAATTCATCGGTGGGCCATTTTAACATTCAAGTACAAGACAAAAGTGGAAACCTGATGTAATTGATGCACTCAGATGTTCTTCCCCAGAGTATCAAAGTTCTTTTTTTTATTCTTGTTGTACATATTGAAGAGGTAGTTTAAACTGCTATGTAAATACTACAATTTAATAATATTAATAATTATAATTTTAATTATATCCCAATCACTTTTTGCTTAACCAAAAGTTTAACACGTATCATAAGACAGCAGATCAACAGTTTGGCAAACCTTGTTGACTTTACCTTGTTGTCTTTCTTTTTTTTTAAACTACAACAAAAAGGGGAAAAGTATATATTCACAGTTATTTTAGCTTGTTCAATTCAGCCAGCAGTAAAACTTTACTAATGCACATATTTTATACAAATCTTAATATGCATATTAGGAATATCTATTAATGAGACCACTTGAATAAAATATCAGCAAAATTGTCATATTTACACCATCAGCATGACGTATTAGCCATGAAGAGGTGTTTGTACAACAAAATGCAGGCGGTATAAAACTGATTATAATCTAACGACCTTTGAATATTTACAAAAATACAGCTCGAGTAAAAACAGAGAGCTTACAGACATATTTCAACGTTTAACTCAGCCCCAGGAATAATCTGCATTTTACTCTCGACCGCACGCTGAGAAAAAACAAAAGTAACACCTAATATATAGTATAGCATTTTAAATGTCCAGTAGGTGGGGGGTCAAAACCACAAGTGTCTTTATTCGACTGCTCAACAGCGATTGGGATTCAAAAATATATGTTTTGTTGGGACGAATCTTGTGATATTTTTGACGTCAGTTACGGGCTGGAGGAAGGAGGAGGGGGGCCGCAAATGGCCCGTGGGCCAGGTTTCAGACTCCTGCTCATATACAATGTAACTGTGTGTTGTACATTTTTAGCATGTAAGGGGAAAAATATCGCACAGTGATTGGAAAATATATAGTCCAAAAGTCAAGAAAAAAAAAGATTGCAGTTGTCCGTATATAAATATACAACTCTAAATATGACAATATTGTCGAATCAATGACAGAGACACCATGCTTTAGGAATATGCAGTGTAAAATCATTTTGTGGATAAACAAAAAACTTTCAGCAAATAATTTATTAACCCATTATTCAGTTTGCGCAAGCTTTAGAATAACCCAGGGTTAACTACAACTGTGAAAAAGACCAATTGGATTTGTATATTGAAATATTATAAATATTTTATAATCAATTTCATTTTGTGTTAATGTATAATTCATATGTCCCTCCACTCCAGAAATCTGCGCAGTGTCTCGGATCTCAAAGAAGGAGATTGGTCGCTGCTTCAAGCTAATCTTGAAGGCTCTGGAGACGAGTGTGGATCTCATCACAACTGGTGATTTCATGTCACGTTTCTGCTCCAACTTGGGTTTGCCTAAACAGGTGCAAATGGCGGCCACTTACATTGCCAGAAAGGCCGTGGAACTGGATTTGGTTCCAGGTCGCAGTCCTATCTCAGTGGCGGCCGCAGCCATTTATATGGCATCTCAAGCATCTGCCGAGAAGAAGACACAGAAAGGTAAGAAAAAACATGTGAAGGCCAGTTCACACCAAAGATGTTAACTATAAAAATAAGAATACGTATACTTTTCAAAAAGTTGTTCTGAATGTAGAACCTCCTTTGGTCAGTAAGTGAGTGTTGGCCCTCACAGAGAGACGCTAAATCACTTTCTAGTAGTGCATCAAAAATCTCAGAGTTTATATCACATTGTTTTTTTTAGTCACATATTCGGACCATTTTTCCGATCAGCCAAAAAGGGGAGCAGACAAATGTCATTTTCTTTGCATTTATTACAAAAACAGCACCTCAAGAGACTATTGGTGTTAAACAGAACATGGAACCTGTAATTTTATTAAAAATAAAATGAAGAAATAATCTGCTAAATAAAAATAAATAGTAAAATATCTGTGAAAAAAATCATGGTTACTACTAATGTTGCTGATAACACTAAATTTATAAATCTAACATTATAATTTGTACAACCCATGTTTATTTTAGTCTCATTTTCAATAAATGATTCAGTTATTCACTCATAAAACTTGTGAAATATTTTTCATGGCTACTGTTTTCTGGTCGCCACCTATTGGGTAAATGTAATTACTGCCTACAGCTTTCATTTTGGAGCCTCAAATTAAATGAATATGAAGGTGATTTTAATCTTTCCATAAACATCAGTGATTATGTCTAAACTGTTATACCAGTACTACTGTGTTATTTGATTGTTTGTAACTTCATAACTCAAAAGACAATACTCTTGATTTTTGTGATTTTCAAACACAGATTTGAATGCAGCGATTGGAAGGATTAATAAATATATGCAAATCACCATCATTCATAATATATGTTGCATGAGTGTTGAGATTTCAATCTTTTAATGATTAATCGTGCAGCTTACACTGAATGTATTAATGTGGGTTAAACAAGTAGTGACTTTTAATGAAACCCACCAGATCCCAATTTCTGAAAAACCCACCCCAACTTCTTTCATTATCATTGTGTTTTACAGAAAAGACTAAATGCTTTCATACATGTGATTTGGATGTCACGAGAGGGAATCTCTCAATGATCGTTTCAAATTTAGAATTAATCTACAAGTAAATCAAATGCATTAATCCGCGGGCCACGTATGTTCCGAATTATGGGTTGTGATCCTTGATCAACTTGAACCGTTACACCCCTACATTACAGAACTTTTTTTTATGCTGTTACTTGCCTTTGAAATGATCTTTCCAGTCCCATATGAACTGCTGATTCACTGGTAACATTCAAATGGCAAATGAAAATCCTTCTCTTCTGCAGGCACTTGACAACATTCTAACATTTAAAAAAAAATCCCTTTTCCCTACCTAACCTTCCTAAATGTGTCTGTTAAATGACATATAAAATGTAAACCAATGGCAGGAGTTCAGACCACAGCTATAATGATGATGCAGAGAAACCAAACCTTCCACAATATTTTTACTAGCTGATAAACGATAAACACTAACAACCAATCAAATCCATTTAAATACACAAGACTCACACATTGAATTTCTCATCTACTTTAAAAAAAAATGTATATATCTAGGCGACGCAGTAGCGTAGTGCTGTTGCCTCACAGCAAGAAGGTCGCTGGTTCGAGCCTCGGCTGGGGCAGTTGGAGTTTCTGTGTGTAGTTTGCTTGTCCTCCTTGCGTTTGCGTGAGTTTCCTCCGGGTGCTCTGGTTTCCCCCACAGTCCAAAGACATGTGGTACAGGTGAATTGGGTAGGCTAAATTGTCCGTAGTGTGTAAGTGTGTATGGATGTTTCCCAGAGATGGGTTGCAGGTGGAATGGCATCCGCTGCGTAAAAACATATGCTGGATAAGTTGGCGGTTCATTCCGCTGTTGCGACCCTAGATTAATAAACAAACAAGCCGGAAAAAAAAAGAATATCTGGAAAAACATTTGGTTTTAGTGCATAGATTTAGTACAATTATGATTTCTCCAAATTTTTTTAGTTTTTTTTTTTTTTTGTCTTTGTAAAATGAGAATCATAAGACAAACAATATTCATGCTTAAAGGAAGGAACTCTCCACTTTTTGGAAACAGGCTAATTTTACAACTGTAGAGTTTAAAATAAGTAATAACAGTAAAATTTTTGCATTGTTTTTTTTTTATTATTCATTCAGCCGATCTCCAAATCTGGCAGAATCAACTTTAGCTTTGCTTAGCATAAGTCATTGAAACATATTAGACCACAAGCATTGATTAAAAAAGGCCAATTGAAAAACAAATAGTATGGTGTTACTGGTTCTTTAAAATAAATACATTGACATTGTTTGCTAGTGTAGAAACAAATAGTGTTCCATTTGTTTGTGGTGTGAAACCAAGCTTAACGTCCTTAATAAATGGGTTTCATTTTTTTACCGTGCAGAGATTGGAGACATCGCTGGAGTGGCAGACGTGACCATCCGCCAGTCCTACCGTCTCATCTACCCTCGCGCCGCTGATCTCTTTCCTCCCGACTTCAAGTTCGACACACCAGTGGATAAACTGCCTCAGCTGTGAACACCACGTGCCCCTCGCTCACCCGCTCTTTGTACTTTCAGAATTTTTGCCCTTCTCTCTTTGAAATTCGCAACGTTTGCTCTTCCCTGCGAAGGCTGGAGTTTTTTAAAAAGACGACGGCAGGGATTCAACAAAGTACAGAAGACACATTCCAAGATAAACGCAGTTTGCAGGCTGTACTTTCATTTGTGTGTATATATATTGTACATATGTCCAAGTGAGAATTCGATTGGTGGTTGCGACTAGGCATATTTCTTACTGTAACATTTTCTTTTGTAGGAAATGATTTTGTTAGCTTGTTTGGATTCTATTTAGTAACTTAAATAATAAATGCTTTTCAGAAAAGCATGGTGAACGTCTGGGAAACACCCCTAAGAAGGTTTACAGGTTTACCTTGAGATTTGAAAGCGTGTAGCTCACAAATGGTTTTATTTCCCCCTCTCTTTTTTCGTTTCTTGAGGGGAATATGGTTTCTGTTAGTGTTTCTGTTCCTGTATTTGCAGCTCAGTTGTTCTAAAAGATTTCACGAAACACCACAGAATCCTTTTTGAAGTGGCAATAAACCATTTACAAAGAGACTCATGACTTTCCATAATAAACATTTAATTTTTTGCATTCACGATGGCTGACAGTTTGTAGCAAAACCTGTTATTTACACCGTTGCCAAGTCAAACTTGTGACTGTACCATTGGAGACCTCATGCTCAAACACATAGAAAACCTTTTTACATCATCATTTTCCCACAATTTAGATAAAACATGGATATTTTAGACAAAAAGTAGTGCTTCCAGCTTGATAGTGTTTATGTAGTGTCGCCTATATAACACACCAGACCTCAAACTAGCCCTCAGGTTGGATTGCTTTTTACACATATGAAGCTTCAGACCCATTTCTGAGTGAGTATATTCAGGATATTTGGTGTCTAGCATGGATTCCAGTCTATCAAGTCTCATCCACTAGTTATGAGCTTTTTTTTAATGGATGAATTTCAGTAGGGAACAACTAGAGCTAATGTTAAAAGACAGTTCACCCAGAAATGAAAGTTCTGTCGTCATTTACTCACCTTTAATTGTGCTTGAGTTTCTTCTCTTGGCCATTGGCATCTATAGTCTTTTTTCCTACTATGGATGTCAGTAGATACCAGTTTTGGTAGGTTTGGAACCAATGTACATGAGTAGATGTTTTATTTTTGGGTGAACTTTCTCTTTAACAACTGAGGTAATGTTATTGCCTGTCACACACTACCATTTGAAAATTCTGCTCAGTATGATTTTTGTTTTTGAGAGTTTCCCCATGCACAAAGGCTGCATTTGTTATTATTAATAATAAAAGGACATTAACTTGCTCTTTCATGGACACCAAATTCAAGGACTTTTTAAATCACCAATATCACCTTTGTGATTCACACCCCCAGCATATGTAGTGCCCTGAAAGTCCCTCCTGACTTAACATTTCACTTACACTTATTATTTACATTAAAATTTCATGATGATGATGTTTTGAAGGTCGACCATTTTAAACAGCCCTTTAAAAGTCATATTCAAAGAACTTTAATACAATTTGTTGAATTTATACTGGCAATATTCAAATGCATTATTTGTCAGTTCAAGTGTATGATTTAAATTTAAGAGTTTTCAATTAAGAGCTTCTATGTTTGTTTTGTTCCATTTAAAATCAACAGAGAACAATTGTTGAAATAACACCATAAACTTTCAATTCAAGCACTTTCAAGGATGTACGTTTAAGTCCTTGAATTCATATTTCTTAAAATCAAGCACTTTCAAAAAGCATGGGAACCCTGTCCTTAGATGGCAACGCTGAATGTTATCAGCTATTTGTTCTCCAGTCCTCAAAAGAAAAACTCTTTCAAAAACACACTGAGCATGAACTTTTAAAAGGCAGCATAAATCCATTGACAGCTTAAGTCTGGTTAAAAAGCAAATAAAAAAAGAAATAATTTACTGAATTAAAGACATTTCATGTTTCAGAGCACAGAGTTCTTTGTAGATTAATATTCACTGTAGGGAAGAGTATGGATTGCATTATGTAGAAAATGGCTAGATGTTTTGGTAATGGTGGCAAACTGTACATTCAGTGGATGAGATACAAAGTATCAGATACCATGATCTCAGCCTATGGCTTTAAAATAAGGAACACAGACATTTGAGAGACTTTTTTTTAAACCAGTCACACTGTAAATGCTTCTAACACACACAAAAAACACCTAAATCAAGGCTCATCATCCCCAGTGTGACTGTGTTAAAAGGGATAGTTCACAAAGAACTAAGTTCTGCCATCATTTTCTGACCCTTCATTTGTCACAAACCTGTTAAGAGTTTTGTTTAAACACAAAAGATCATATTTTGAATAAGGCTGAAAACCAGTAATAACCAATGAGTTCCATAGGATTTGTTTTTCCTACTATGAAAGTATGACCAGCTTTCGGCTTACTTCAAAATATCTTTCTTTTGTATTCAACACAAGAAAGAAACTCAAAGGTTGGAGTATATTTAGGGTGAACTATCCCTTTAATGTGACCCTAGTGACTTCCACAACACTAGGGGGCGTCAATGAGTCATAATTCACATGCTCAAAACTACACTGAACAACAGATGGTTATTTTCGTGTTCAGTCAGTGATTTATGAAGGGCGAAACCTGCAAAAACAAACAATTAAATATGCAAATATATAAACAAATGAGTAAATATATTTAAATAAATTCCTGCATAATTAAAAATAAATATGCAAATAATTAAGTGTATATAAAATTCCACAAATTCCTGCATAATTAAATCATTAATAATGCATGCAGGTCAATAATAACAAAGTACACGAATGTTGGAGGAAGAAGACAATGCCCTCCCTTTCAAACGTTTTTTGATTTCCTGAACGTGGTTGTGTATTTACTTTTCCCCAGGCCAACATGCTAATGAGAGGCTGCCTGTCAATCATCAGAAGGCGGTCTTTATGCCATAATTGGCTAATCGTTAAAGAAAATTTGCATTAATTTTTTTTTTTGACCGCCTTTTGATGATTGACAGACAGCCTCTCATTAGCATGTTGAGCTGAGGAACGTAAATACGCAACTACGTTCAAGAACTCAAACATTTTCTTACTCCCCCAACATTTAAGTAATTCGTTTAAATATTTACCTGCCCACACTATTAACTATTTATATATTTACTTAAGTAGGAATTTGTGGACTTTTATATGCATTTATTGATTTATTTGCATATGTATTTATTTAATGCAGGAATTTATGGATTTGTTTACTCATTTATTTAAATATTTGTATATTTATTCATTTAAGTTTAGCAGGTTTCGTCCTCCATAGTGCTTAGCTCCAATCATTTCTGATAAAATGGGTTAATTAATTGAACCCGAATATACAGGCAACACTTATTAAAAAAATAAAAGTTTCTTCATGTTAAAACTGAAAAGGGGATCTAAAATAACACTGACAGCGAAATAGGGAGATCTGCAAAAGGTCTGATTCACATTTTCTGCAAGTGTGTGTGTTTGTGGAGAGGAAGGGGATGCCAAGCATATGGCTAACACCAGTCTGCGATGTAGTCAAAGTCAGTGAACAGGTCCTGCTCGTGCTGGTTTAATGGCCGCGGTTCTCTGGGTGGCGTCAGCACTGGAGCCTCTGAGGTAAATTCATCATCAAAGTTACTAACGTCACTGGAGCATTGAATCGTGGGTACAAATGGTGGCTTTACTTTCTTTGCTAATAATCCGTCCCAGTCAATATCCTGGAAGACATAAGGTAGGAATGATGTTTTATTCAGAGAGTGAGAGGCGGAAACAGAGATTGGAATAACTGAAAAGATGCAGCCAGATGTTTCTTCTGAACTTACTCTGAAGAACAGATGTTTCTTCACATCTTCTGCATCTCGTTCAGCAGCTCCAAGCCGTCTCTCTGGATTCCTTCTTAACAACTGCAAACAATATAAAATATCAAATATATAAGACACAAACCTTACAGCACTTATTGTCTTCTTCAAATGTATAATTTCTGGAGCTAATCTAAAAAACTTATGATAACAGTCTAAAAATTAGTAGCCAAAATGCACAGTGCATCCAGAAAGTCTTCATAGCGCTTCAGTTTTTCCACATTTCTTTATGTTACAGCCTTACTGCAAAATGGATTCAATTGATTTATTTTCTCAATTCTACACACAATTCCCCATAATGGCAATGTGAAAAAAGATTTTTTGAAATTGTTGCAAATTAATTAAAAATAAAAAACCTGAAAAATCACATGTACAGAGGTATTCTCAGCTTTTGCTGCTAAGGTGCATCAACAAAGTATTGAGCAGTTACAGCCTCAAGTGTTTTTGAATATGATACACTAACTTGGCACACCTGTCTTAGGGAATTTTTGCCCATTCTTCTTTGCAGTACCTCTCAAGCTCTCGATGGGAAGCAACGGTGTACAGCCATTTTCAGATCTCTCCAGAGATGTTCAATAGGATTTAGGTCTGGGCTCTGGCTGGGCCACTCAAGGACATTCACAGAGTTGTTGTGAAGCCACTGAAGATTGCTGCACAGATGGTTGTCCTTCTCCACATTTTCTCCTCTCTTCACAGAAGAACGCTGGAGCTCAGACAGAGTGACAATCGGGTTATTGATGGAGGCCACTGTGCTCATTGGAACTTTGAGAGCAGCTGAAATTTTTCTGTAACCTTCCCCAGCCTTGTGCCTCGAGAAAATCCTGTCTTGAAGGTCTACAGACAATTCCTTTGTCTTCATGCTTGGTTTGTGCTTTGACATGCACTGTCAACCCTGGGACCTTATACAGAGAGGCGTATGCCTTTTCAAATCATGTCCAATCAACTGAATTTACCACAGGTGAACTCCAATTAAGCTGCTGAAACATCTCAAGAATGATCAGTGAAAACAGAATGTATCTGAGCTCAATTTAGAGCTTCATGGCAAAGGCTGTGAATACTTCTGTACATGTGATTTTTCCAGCTTTTTTATTTTTAATAAATTTGCAACGATTTCAAAAAAACTTTTCCCACATTTTTCCATCATTATAGGGTATTGCGTGTAGAATTTTGAGGAAATAAATTAATTTAATACATTTTGGAATAAGGCTGTAACATTAAAAAATGTGGAAAAACTGAAGAGCTATGAATACTTTCCGGATGCACTGCATATTCAAATATAAAAATATTCATTAAACAATTTCAATAACTTTTCCAAACTTTTGTGGGTTTATTTTCCTGGAAAATGCCATTTCAAAATTACATTCCAATTCTTTTCTAGGTTTTCCATGACTGTACTAACCCTGTATGTATATATATATATATATATATATATATATATATATATATATATATATATATATATATATATATATATATATAGATACATACATACATACATATATATACATATATATATACATATAAACTTTAAAAGGCAGATCTTTTGTAAGCTCTGAGATAGTTCATCAGCCAGGCTTTTGTTGAACTCATTTCTGCATATTGGTTAATCATTTTGCACAATTTGTCACAATTTTTGCAGTATCCGCTTGTTAAGTGTGACGCGAAGCGGCTTCCGGGTCCACTCTATCAAACTGTATGGGGAGACTCATCAAATGGTAACAATAAATCTTTACAAAGTGATATAATACTTTTGAAAATTATGATCATATATATATATATATATATATATATATATATATATATATATATATCCATGCCTAATATCAGTTGACCAGAAAGTGATTCATTTTTTATAAATTGTTGAAATTTTGGTATTTGTGATGCAGCAAGTTCAGAGACTGTTGAGTACACTAAGATTTGATATAAAATTAACTTTAAACTGTGATATGACTAAAAAGTGGCCATAAACAAATAATATCTCTATTTAAATGAGTAGCAGCTTGGACCCAGAAACAGTATTCCATACGTCACCGATATTTCACGTCTTAACAAGCAGGTAGCAACCAAAAAATTTACATTTTTTATTTATATTTTATTTGAACTTATTCACAATGTGCCAAAATGTAAATTATTACTGTGTTTTCTAGAACGTCACATATTTTAGCATTATCAGTAGGCCTGTAACGATAACTATTTTTTGTTCTATGATATATTACCAGAATTAATTGCGTTAAACAAAGTATTGACATTGTAAAGCCATTTTATGCCACTCATCATAATAAAATGCAGGAATAACAATATAATATCATCACAATGTCATCACACTCTTCCAAATAATACATAATATTTCATTCTTAAGAATATGTAATTTAATTATGGTCATTTTAACGGTCTAATATTAAGGCATTGGAATCAGAATGTGAAAACGCATTTCCTAAATAAATAATAATAAATGTTAACAAAAAAAGGTAAAAAGTAACCGAGGCTGCGCTATCTGCAACCAGATCTATTTTCAGTCGTCAGACACACACATGAAAATATACTATAGTCATTATAGTAAATACTCTGGTGTTTTTTAACCATACTGACACTTACACATCCAAAATAGATAGAGCGATGTTGCGCAATCAGATAAAGTGTATAATATATATTATTGATAAATACATCACTAAAAAGATTGATTTCATGGCCATGTGTTGTGCGATAAGTCGAAATACTGATTATTGTGACAGGCCTAATTATAATATCACAAATACTACAAAATATTACAATATAGACAAATTACCAGTTTGTAAACATTCAGGATGTGCGTGCATCGAGGTTGCAGAAAAAAAATAGGGCTGGTAGTATTTAAAGCAAGGGATTGACATCCGATGCGGTACAGAGTTTGTTGTTGCATTAGAGATATGTTAAATTGATTACATGTTATATACAATATTTACATAATGCTTCCAGCGTATTACAACAACTGTGCTTATCACTGGGTCACAAACTATTTGGCAAAATGAATGTTAAAGTGAGCGGCATTTGTCTGACAGGTCCATTTGCGATAGCACCCTCCCAAATGATATTGGATAAGACGAAATGGCCAAGCATCCAGCCCCAAATATACAACTACCTCATTAAAACTCTAAGAGATTTGACAAAAGAGAAGTTAAAGGTTAGAAGTTACAAGTCTTTGGATGCCAATAATGTTGTTCTGTGTGGTCATGTGCAAGAAATAATGTTCCATGATCACCAGATTCAACATTTTGTAGTGTTAAAAACTGAGGTTCTGCCTAGCCAAGGAAAAGGAAAGAAGACGGAACTGTACAAAGCCTGAGTAATCATCAACAAGCAAAACTACTGCATTCTGACAGTGAACCACACCTGTACGGCAGGGTATGTGACATTTCATTCTAAGTGTTTAGTGTCCGCAGTTTAATTCACCATATTTAACTGTTTTTGCTGAAATCATTGCTGCAATCAAAAAAGAGTAATGTGTATGATTCAGCATAGCGTGAACTTTCCTGATATAACATGAGAACTGCAGAGTCCAGCCATTTTTATTAGGTCCTCACTCCATTTAGCTTCTCTAAAGGTTGAAGCCAAAGATGTTTGCGGTTGGCACTGAAAGCAGTGTGGTGTGTACGGTAAAATTGAAGTTTTCTATTTTTGGACGTTCGATTTGGCATCCTACCACACAACACAACATGTTTGCTTTTGCAACAGGTATGCGGGGTTGAACCCGTGTGACGTCATGTGTAAAGTAGGTTGGTAATTCCCCTATACTGTAGAATTTGTGTTTTGTTTTGTTTTTAGCACTATTAGTAGCCACAATTTTTCTGACAAATACGACTTCTACGTAATATTTGTTCCTTCTGTAGTCTGTTACTGGTTCTAAACTGCATGGTGTAAATTCAATAATGTAACCTGATCATTTATTTTTAATAATGTAATCAGACTATGTTTCAGTGGATCAAAGCACTCCGAATGAAACAGCTGATTTTGAAAGACAACCAACATCTTTAATTTTTATTTAAAAATACTTGTGTAATTCGCTGTTGTTTTGATTTTGATTGTGTCATTCACAATGTTTCTTGGGATTGTAGTTCTTTACCTCAAAGCTGTTAAAGCGACAGTTCACCCCAAAAAAGAACATTTGGTCATCATTTACTCACCCCTGACTTGTTTCTTTTTTTTTTTTTTGTCAAACACAAAAAAAGACATTTTAAAAAATGTTGAAAACTGGTAACCACTGACATTGAAAAAACTAATTGGTAACCACTGACATAGAAAAAACAAATACAAAAAAAGTTTTTTCAAAATATCTTCTTTTGTGTTCAACAGAAAAAAGAATCCCAAACAAGTCAACAGTGAGCGACAATTGTTTTTTTTTGGGTAAACTTTCTCTTTTTATTGAATTTTTTTATGTTGAGTTTGCAATATTGTTATTCTTCTTATCGCTGGTTAACAAAACTTTCTTATTTTATTAAATAATGTATAAAAGAGTGAGTGGCACTACTGCACTTTATTCTTTTTTAAAAGTGTCCAAGCTTGGTAAATGCCCCCTAGTAAAATTGCTCTTGGTACCAACCCTTCTCATGATGGAGATGGCTTCTGTTGAGAGGACTCGTGGGTAGCGAACCTCGTCATTCACAATGCTGTCAAACACCTCTTCTTCATCATCACCAGGAAATGGAGACTACGGAAACATGAATCTACTTAAGTCTTGCAAAATGGCTACAAAACATATGCATTAAATGAAAAAAAAAAGCATATTAAAATAGATTTAAAAGATCTTATATTTCACACTTTTTTCAGGATTTACTGTTTTTCAATACAGAAATGAGGCAATAGTGAACATTTTGTTTTAAAAATAAACACACCAACACCAAACTTAATGCATCAGGGTAGAAATTCTAAGAGAAATGAAAGAGTCAAATATCTGAGCTCTGACCTCTCCGACAAGCATCTCAAAAATGAGTACGCCGAGGCCCCACCAGTCCACAGCTCGTGTATAGGATGTTTCAGTTAACACCTCAGGTGCCAGAAACTCTGGAGTGCCGCAAAAAGTGCTGGTTCTGTCCCGATAACCCATTCCTAACACAGAAACAGAGAAACATTTGAGTCTGCTGCTTACACAGAGCTTAACCCAACAGCAAACAGAGCCTTACCTTCTTTGCAAAGACCGAAGTCAGCAATCTTGACAAATCCCTCAGTGTCAAGCAGTAAGTTATCCAACTTCAGATCCCTGAAGAACACATTTATCAAGTCAATTTAAGGAAAAACATCAAACATTTGTGTCATATTTTGAATGGTCATCATATTTTCTAGAATAAAAGTGTTGTTTTTTGAATTGACATGTGTTGCGAGTCTCAAAAAGATGCTATTGACATTATCCAAGTACAACATGCGAGATTGAATTTGCGAATTAGAGAGATTAAACTATCTTTATAGCAAAACAAACCTGCTACTAATTTAAACTAACGTTTTTAGGCTTGATATTTACAATATTAGTTTTAGAAATCACTAAAAATCAGACAATACAATGCATTTGGGGTTACAGTAAAATTGCAATACTATAAACAAGGTTATCTATTGCATTTCTTCTATTTCTGTTCAATGTTTTGTGGTCCATTATACATACTTCATGGTTTCCGCTTCATTAATTCTTCAATGATGGGGCGCCACATCAAAATTTATCCCGCCACAGCTACATTACAACTTCTCATTCAAAACGTTCAGTCGTTGTTTTTTTAATAGCAGGTTATAATCGCACCAAAGTTTATTAAACTGTAATCATAGTAGTGCTGTGCGTTATTCGTTTAACCCTTTGAGGTGACATGCTGACTGTCTGACTGACAGGTGCGTGATGCGTGAGGCCAGCAAACACGACGTAGCTATTAGTTCAGATGAACACAGTTTCCATAATTATACTTTATAGATAAAGATCTATGGCTCTGCATGCAATGACTCTATCTTGCTGGAGTTTATAGCCATTTGACTTTACTTATAAAGCAAATCTAATAAATGTTGGAGACATACTTGTTACACAAACGCACTAAATCAAACTTTAGCATTGTATATTTTAGGGCGCACAAGAAGATCTGCACTTAAGCAGCGTATATTTGAAGGTGTGCAAGAAGTTTTGTACACGAACAAAGGAAATTGGTGCGCAAGCAAAAAGATTCGCATGCTCGTATTACATAAATGCGATGTCGACTTGTAATACTGCGGACACGACATTTGTCATTGAAATACAAGCATAGGTAGTTGGTAGATGTGTGTAAAAGGCCTGCTGCCACAGCTGGAAAAAAATTTAGAGAAAACACTGTACTTTCTGCAGGAAATTTGAAAATGTGATGTAAAAAACACAATTTTATAACTTCTATGGCCAAATACAACAAAAGCTGGATTATTTGCAAATTGTAGTCCAAATTACATGATGACAATGGTAGTCAATAATGTGACTTAGACTACATATTTTATAGGGATGCACCGATATGGATTTTTTGGCCGATACAGATAACCGATAATTCTTCAGACTTTAGGGCCGATAGCCGATATATAAAGGGAGATAATTCTAAATATATCAAAATGGTATATTTTTATACAGCAAACTTCATAAAAGATTGAATTGCTCTCATGAACTGAATAGTCTATACTCAAAGCAAAAAAGCAATCATTTCAAAATTGCAAAGTGATTATATAGATCTATATTCACGATTTCACATAAATCAGCATGCAAAAAATTTATTATTTCATTTTCTTCATAGCAAATTAACATGTAACTTGACTGTTGCATAAAATTAATAAATAACTAAATGGGATTTATTCAACAAGCAAGTTAAATATATTGTGAATAAGATGAATAAGTGAGCTAAGGACTGAAACCAGCTAAAATGTTCTTGAATAAAACTTGTTACAGTGATGTACATGTGATGAACAAATATGTCATGTCCGAAAAAGCCTTTTTTAGAGGTGTTATGACAGTTCAGAGCCACTGTACAAGTGAAAAGCTAGATACAGAATGTATTATTTAAAAAAATTCTACATAAATTCATCCTATTTAGCATTTTAGATTCTTTTGAATACATGTAGTGCAGTGCTTGTCCATCAGGCAATGCTTCTGTGTTCATTCTTGCTGTCAATCACGGGGAAAATTATCGATGAAATGTTTATGATAAACTGCTGCGAGAGAGCCGATTTTGATACAAACCTGAGCTTTGAGTTCAGATGACTTTATGACAAACACAGAGCAAATAAAAAACAAATAATCATATTAGATTACAAACATCCCGAGTTTGGTGTGTGTGTGAAGCGAAGAGGGAGAGACAGAAAAGAGGAGCGTTTTTTCGTGATTTCAGTGATGTTCCCACTTTGGTGATTGGGTAAGTTAAATGTGTCCTCTTTCATTCACCGGCTGAAACTAAAAGAGAATAGAGAACCCCGAAACTAATATTATTCGCCCCTGAAGTAAAAAGTGAATCTCCCCTGATATCTCTAACACAACAAAAAGACAGAGCAGGAAAGGTTTACACATGTAATATTTTTTTCCGAGGCGATTTGAAGTAAAATACATATTGACACTCAATCAAACATATCTACAATGATGAGGAACATGGTTACTTACTGAGTTATTAATGCACAGCAATACCACATGAAGAAAGGACGGACTTTAAAGGAATAAATAATGTGAGGAGAGCTCCGTTATAGTGCACTGAACAAGTCTAAACATGTTCCGTCCACGTGTGTGCGGCAGACAGATCTGTACAGATCTGTACAATTACGTACGGATAAAGATATCGGCCTAATTTAGACATCGGATCAATAACGATAATCTTAAAAATAGCATTTATCGGCCGATAACAACATGGCCGCCGATATATAGTGCTATGCTAATATAGTATTTCAAAAAGTAACTAATCTGATAATGAATTAGTTTTAAACTTAATTTATTACAATCTAAAGTTATAAGCTAGATTATGTGTAACCTGCAATAATAAACCCAACACCTTTGTGCCTTATTTTCTAGAAAATAGAGCCTCTTACCTGTATACAATCTTATGCTCATGTAAAAACTGCAAGCCCAGAACGACACAAGCTGCATAAAACCTGCCACATTCAAGAAAAACAGAAGATGTCATGCTAATAAAAAACTTCATATCATAAAATGATACTTCATAAAAATACTTCAAATCATCTGAAGAAGTGACATTAGTGTCCCTTACGTGGCCCGTGGCTCTGAAAACACGTCCGCGTGTATGTGCATCATAAGGTCCCCTCCTGCCGCATACTCCATCACAAAACACACATGATCCTTAGTCTGGAAACATGCAAATAGATTGACCAGGAACGGGTGCCGAACGCTGTTCACAGTCTCAAATATCCTCTTCTCACACATCAAACTGAGAAAGAAAAAAAAAGAGAAGACAGGATACTAAAAGAATACAGATCAAGCAAGTCAAGGGCTACAGACATTTAAAAAAACACCTTAATGTATTGTCAGGAGCCACTGATATTCATTTAGTTTTGTACATGTGTATACGCAATTCATAAAATACCAAGGACCAGAAATTCAGCAAAGAAATCTACTTTAAACTCTTAAACTATGCTGTTTTTTTATATTTCCACCTATATTTTGCAAATCCATATCCTACAAACATACAATGGAGGAAATGAACAAAAAGAAAGGTGTCATTGATGAAAAGAATCTACAACAAGTCATACTGGATGGCCTGAGGGTGAGTAAACTAACAGCCTATTTTCTTGCATGAACCATCACTTTAGATAGCAGCAACCAGCTAGTAGATGTTAATTGATAAATGTTGTTGATTGTATTCAAAAAAAATAATAATTACCTTTCAACCTCATCACGGGCTACAATATCTCCCTTTTTAAGAGCCTTGATGGCAAACATTTCACCAGTAATAGTGTATTCTGCTAGTAACACCTGCAGGAAGTAAAACAGATAGAATTACAAACAGATGTTTACATTTTCTGTGAGGTTTCAAGAATTAAGTTTAAAGACCTAAAATGACAATCAATTAGCATTTTAGTGCTGAACTGCGTTGCATGAAGTTTTTTTTAATATGTCAGTGATTGTTGTTCTAAATTTCCACAATATTAAAAAGACGTCCAGTTCAATTTAGGTCAACTGGTGTTTAATTTATATCAAATTAAGCCTTAGTCTACAGTTTGAGTCTTTTTAACTGCTATATGATAACTCTTGTGTTACAAGCTAACTCCAATATGCTGTATATACTAACTCTTATATGGTATATGCTAACTCTTATATGCTATAAGTATGTATATACTTGACTCCAAACTGAATTTTCTGACCATATCTACTTGTATTTTTAACTTTATATAACTCTTTTGGACAGTATCTTGCTCAAAGTTCTACTGTATGACATAATGTACTAGTATTCTATCTTAGATTATGTATATAGTGAACAATTTATAGTATATGTATTATCGATGCAGTATGTTAGATATGTGCAGGTTTCAAAATTGGTTTTGCGTCCAGTGTTGCGTTCATATTTATCCTTATGTTTATTTATGTAGAACTGTTGTCCTGCTGGACATTTCATTGACTATGAAATGACTATAAAGCTCAACTTAATCTGACTTGATATTTTGCAGTAAGCTTGAAACGTACTGTTTTTATTGACACACAAAGCATCTTTTTTATGAAGGACCAGGAGTGCCGGTTAGAAATAAAATGACACTGTACCATAATACACAGTTTATGAGCGACCAAAAGAAATTTGACATTGGCTAGAATGACCGGGTGCTTTCGACTTAGCTCACCCGACAACAGTAACGTCACCCCTCAACTGTAAAACTTTTCTATAAAGACAATGATAATCCAGAAGAGCATTTCTTTAACAGAAATCAGCTAAAGCTAATGAATCATCCACGTGTGAAGTGTCCAATGACATTTTTAAACTCAATTTATTTTCAATTCGAGAAAAGCATGTAGTAAAAGGAAAAGAAATGCAAGTGGCAAATAGAGAGAGAAAAGCATTTGTCAAATGCCTTTTTAAAAAGCTATTTAAATACATTTTTAATGATCTTTAAATGAAGGGTTCAGATGCAAAACCCTCTAAATCCATCTGACCTCTTTTTTTATAAATGAGCATTTTCTATCAGGCTCCTATAATTAGGTTCAGAAGATCCATTTTATAGAAAATGATAATGCTATTAGCTAGTAAATAAAATAACTGTTTTTCAAAAATGTAGACAATTTAGACAATTCTTTGAATTTTAACAAGATAGATTTTCTTTTGTGTCAAAACCAGCTAAATCCACTTCTGCTTTTTTTTTGCAAAAACCTCTAAATCCACCTATCGGGACAAGACAATGTAATTAGTTACAAAGTTGTTGTTTAATGTATAGTAAATAGGACTTATTAAAAGTAGCGCCACTGCGCAAAAACACATTATGAATGCATGCTACACTTCCGACTGTACACCGTGTTTTCTTTTCCTTATAATGCAGAGGTAAGGGACGTTTTCATTTGCCATTCACTGACAGTCGGGACAGGCTCATTCAATTCAACAGACTTCATCTTTTAAAATCTAAATCGAAAGTGGAATATGTCTCCTCATAAAAGCTGGCGTATCAGCGTGCCCTTATATTAAAAACATACAATTCGATTCACAACTTCTGATTGGTTCTCGGGATATAGCGGCTTTTGCTGTCAAAGGCTAGTGGCGTGTAAAGGCTTTTGCCAACAAACTGTTATTTCTAAATGCACTGACACTGGGATTTGGATGATTTGAAGCAAAAAAAAAAAAAACAGTTGTTGAACATGTACTACTTGCCTAAAGCATTCGCTCAATGTCATTATCTCTGCATCTCTCCATATTTTTGACGGAAGTGGTGTTTAGCGGCTTTTGCATCTGAACTCTTCAAATTTACATTTTTGTTGTTTAATTAATCAGCATTTTAATACATGAATTAAATAATCTATAACATAGTCTATTTATACATTTTAAAATGTATTTATAAATGCATTGTTTTATCACTTTATTAAATGACGTTTATAATCTCAATTCAAATAAACACATTTAAATACGTCTATTTATTTGTCCATTTAAATTTTGATTTATTTATACACATTTTAATGCCTTAATTATAAAATTAATAGTATGATTCTTCATTTTATTTCTAACTGGCACTCCTGGTCCTCCATACTTTTTAAAATAAAAACGGCAATTAAAAACCTCTCTATTTTATTGCATTATTTACAATGTTTTATCGGACTCTATATTTTTCCACTTAAAGCAAGTCTTGTATCAGATTTTTATTTTTATTTTTTTTTACTTCAAATCAAAGTTTGCAATGTTGTGATTCTCCTTATATCTAGTTCTTTTGGTTAATGCCATATACTGCTTAAATTAAATATTTAAAATTACCTATTTAAAAACAGGTAATGTCAGAAATATCACTGCTGAGAAATAGATTAGGCAATCAGATCAATGGCAGCTAAATTTGAAATAAAAAAGGAAATTGTAACCATAAAAAGTCTTACCTTTCCGAAATGACCGCGGCCTAATACTGCAACACATTTAAAGTCTTTAAGACTGAAATGAAACTGTTCTTCTTCATCCCTAAAACAACAAACACCCGTTAGTAACTTGAATATTTGAGTATTTATAAAACACAGCAATATAAATAGCAGTTCACCTTATTTCTGTGCTTTTCTGGACATTTATGAGCTGTAATGCTGAAGGTGGAGTGTCATGTTCAACTATTTCTTCAAGGCCAGACTGTACAATGATGCTATTCCTGTCATTTCGGTAGGCAAACGCAGTCAAAGCGCCCTGTACACAAAAATAAAAAACATCAACAACAACAGTCTTTCAGCTGCCACTGTTTACACAAGATGAGAGTGGATAGCGGTTATCTTTCCGTTAATAAAGGTAACGTGAAGGCATTTCCTTTTCCTTTTATATGCAAGGGGGCAGATGAGAGACTGAGCATGAGTTATGTGTCTGCTTCAGATCTTTATCCTCAGAGTTTAAAAAAGTGCTTTCAAGGAAACAGATGGCATCAATGTTTATCTCGATAGTAACCGCATGATAGTGTGATGTTACCCTCTCTCGCTCTTTGTTGGAGATCTTGTCCTCGGGCAGGACTTCTCGCACACTAACAGGAGAGTAATTCTTTGGTGTAGTGTCTCTGTCAAAGTCCAGTTTTGTCACTATTGGGTCACTAGAGAGGGCAGACAAAAACAAACAGACACATGAAAGCCGGGTTTGGCCTATTTTTCTGTCAACTGATGAAGAATGAAGAATTACTAGAGCTGGGCGATATGGCAAAAAAAATTATCACTATAATTTTTTTCATATCAGTCGATATCGATATTCATCTCAATAAACGTAAAATTTTTATATCTATCAATTATATAAGATTTTCAGCATGCCAATCGCTTTGTGCAGCTGATTTAACACATTTAGTGAAATGTTTTAGCTGTCTGACAATATAAATAATAAAATAATAAACAAAAGAACAATCTTAATTCAGCATTTACTTGTTCAAGTTTTCAACAACCAAAGACATTACCTATAAGCTACTGATATTATTGTTCAACATCAGAAAAAAATAAACCCGATTTGGAACAACCTGAGTTAGCAGTCACAGAATTTTCAGTTTTGGATGAACTCCTTTTTATGGCAAGTATGGTGAATTTAGGGTGAAATATACTTTAATGTATTTTATTTAGGGATGCTAATGATTACTTGATCTACTGATTGTCGATAACGCTTTAATTGATAGACCTTATTGATGACTGATTAAGCATAGACATGTAAAGGTTTAGTTCTGCTTTGCGCTGTGAGACGCATCCACGCATTACATCATCAAGTGTGTGCAGTTTACCTTACTTATGCTGTCACCCTCTTGACATCCCATATTGCGGGATGCATAAACCCTTGTTATGCGCATATCTCCGATAGCCTATATCCACGCGTGTTTTAACCAAATTTGTCTGACAGATTAGCACAAAAAGGTCTGCAGACTCTCATTTTACAAATCATGCATCACAACGAAAACATGCGGGGAGCCAGCCGGGGAGCCTCTCCATTTACACAGCGAGCTTCTGAGCTCCATCCAGGTTTATTCTTCCGAGGTAACCCAAGAAATCTATCAGTGCAGCGAAAAGACTGTCCAGTTCATGCTGCTCACACCGCGCTTAGTTAATGAATTAAAATGAAACCGTGAAAATAGTTTTATGGATTGTTTTGGCGCTAAAGCATATAGCGGGCTTGTGTTAAAGCGCTTCACCACAGATGTTATTCGTTCCTCTTGTTTATGCTGTAGATAACTGACCAACAAAATATACATCAAAATGAAGTTACACATTTTACAAAACGAAATTCGTTACAAAAAGATACATTTTCAAGGAAATATGTTTATATTTATTTAGTTCGTGTTCACCTTAAACAACTGGGGGTGGATGATGCTTCGCTCCGTGGAAAAAAAAAAGCTGTTGCTGTTGTAAACGTCTGTCATATATTTGCTGCATTATTAATATGTCATTATTTTAAAGATTATGTCTTGAGCATCTGATTTCTCCTCTGTGATTATGTCCTTTAAATATATAAAGGCTGGTTCTTTTACAGTCGATGAGAGACAATAGTGGTATTACATATTTCAAAACAAATATTTTAATAAAAAGGAAACATAAGCTTGACCTCAAAAGATCTTATTATTGTCTTAACAAATACCCTTAAATGATGCAGCCTGTAGTTTACAGCAAGCATCAAGTGTTCATTGAGATGTGTTTGAGATTGTGTTGTCCGTCATATCTTTCGTCTGTCTTTTCGGGGGGGTTTTTCTCGTAAGGCACGGCTTTCAAAAATGATGACATGAGACTCTGCTGGATAGCTGCGCTGGTTTCCTAACACTTTTGTGTCTGTAATTTCTCAGCATCTTTATAAGGGTGGTCTTGTTTTACATGGTGAAACAGGTTTGACACGAGTCGTCTAAGCAGTTTGCGGTGTACATTGCTCTGTTTTGTGTCGAATAGCGAAAAACTAATTAGCTCATGAAGTCTAGTGACGTTTCTGGTCAACAATGTCTGTGACTCTGACCTTTTTTACCTTATTTCTTTCTTACTCCTTTCAGTGTAACTAACACTGTATGGCTGTAAACTTGTACGGCGTGTGGCATCCGGAAGGGCAGGCTGCAAAATGCTTACGCAACGTTACGCATAGTGTGTAAATATGTTTGAGCAATTATCGAACTGTCATTATCGTTTTATCGAAAAATTTTATATCGTGATAATTATCAATATCGAATTATCGCCCAGCCCTAACTATTACCTTTGGCTTGTTTTGTCAAGGTTTTAGACAGTTACCCTTTTTTAATGTTTCTTGTTTCTCCCATTAAGAAAGCAAATTAAGTTATTTTAGATCTAAGAGCTCCCTCATTCTCCATATAAAGCAAGGGTCGTAAAACAAAAGTCCAATAAAATGAACCAAAATATTGTCAAAACATTGATTGTGACTTCAGTGACTTTAACTGTGATGGCCTATGTCCTCTCTTTAGATGCGTCAGATCAGGGTGCACATTTACTATGGGAAATACAATGTTTGCATGTTGTGCTGCTGACTCTAATAGCAATACATTATACCGTTGTTTGTAGACTTTGAAGATCTCATGATCCTTGCAGTTTATGGAATATCTAAAATATCTTCAATTGTGTTGAAGATGAACTAAGACCTCGGGGGATTGGAAATTGTAAAAATATATTCAAATATATTTTAGATATTTATCTGAAAGGGGTAGTCCACAGTGTTTGTTTAAGTCTTGGTTGTGTTTATAAGATGCAATGTGTGCTCATGGTTTATTTGTAAAAAATCATGTTATTTTTTCATATACTTTTATTATATACAGTTACACAGCTAACATGAAAATGACTGTCATATTTCTTAGATCCTCTGAAAGGTCTGTCCTCAAGAGGCTCTGGTTGGCCAGCTAACATAATGTGCTGTGATTCGGGGATCGACTCCACGTCACCAGGAAAAGCACCATGCCTCTACAAACACGCTTTCCCTCTGCTCTGTAAATAGTCAATGTAGCCTAATCAGTTTGTGTCTTAATCAGAGAGAAAAGGAACAGGTCACAGCTGAACCTCATGTCTGCTCTCTAAAACAAAATTTGACAACTGTCTTTCACATACATTCAGGTTATAAGCATATGTAAGGAATATGAAATGTTCTCATACCTTTTGCGAGTTAGTTATTTAAGATGTAGAATGCAGGGAACGCAGCCGCATAGAGAGACACTGCAGCGCTGCTGAAGACTAAGGGTGTTTGCAGCGGTTTGACTAATAAATATGAATTTGTAGCTAAATTGTTAACAGTGCCGAACAGCCTTTCCCGTTGTTTACATCCTTGTTTACGTCCTTACAACAACATACTGTTAATGCTAGAATGTGTGTATGTAATAGATCAGTTTTAACAACTAAAAATACTTACAGGTTATGAGAAGTTTTTAGCCAAATCCAGCACTGAACTGGGAGAGATTCTGGAAGCTGTCCTTTGTCAAACGCTAGCTATATGTGTGTATATATATACCTTTTTTTTTTTCAACGCTTGGATGGCATTTACCCCAAAATTTTTCTCGAATCAGCGATCGCTAAATCCAACAAAAAAATCAACAAAAAGCTAATTTTCGCGATCCTGCAAAATTCTTAATTAAACGCAAAATAAAAGCAAAAAATGTAAATAATCTCATAAAACATTCAATTTCAAACCAAATAATCAAAATAGATTTATTTCAATTGGCAATGAATTGTTTTCCATGACTTATAGACGTTGCATTTGCAGCACACGTGATGTGTTTGAGTGTCTCAAGAAAAATGGTCTCACCTGCGCCCTCACAATCATTACATTACATGGAAAGGGGGGCAGGGGAGTTTTCAGCTTATGCAGTGAGCAGACACGGATGAAGCACAGTTGGTTTACACAATCCCATAGCAAAGATTAGATATAGACATCTTGTGGCAAGAATTGGGTGTTTTGTGCATTTGAAACGCTTCAGACAGCAAAAAAAAATTGGTGCAAACGGAGCAGTGGAACAGATAGGTGAAGATGAGATTGGTTCAAGGGTGACGGCGCTGGACGTGATTGAATTAAAGGACATTATTTGTGCTGTACATGTATGACTGGTATTAGGGTGTGCGTCAAATTGATAATTTTTTTTTACCATGTTTTGTTATGTCTGTGTTTTAAGCCTATTACATTTACATTTACATTTACATTTAGTCATTTAGCAGACGCTTTTATCCAAAGCGACTTACAAATGAGGACAAGGAAGCAATTTACACAACTAAGAGCAACAATGAATAAGTACTAAAGGCAAGTTTCAGGTCTGTAAAGTCTAAGAAGGGAAGTGTTAGTAGTTTTTTTTTTTTTTTTTTTTTTTGTACAATTAGTGTGATATTCAAAGAGGCAATTGCAGATTAGGAAGTGAAGTATTACGATAGGGGAACCCCTAACGTGTGTCCTTTGTGTGACATGATGTCAGATGCTCCAGAGAGTGAAATTTGAGAGAAAGTGAGATTGTGGAAAAAATTAGACTAATACAACCTTCCTTTCGCTTAATCCCTACCGTTTCAGATCTTGTCTTGACAAAAGACCAAATTAAAGAGCTTTATTTTTCTGATTTGTGTCATTGTTTCAGATTGCACATATAATTTTTACGTGTATATATATATATATATATATATATATATATATATATATATCGTACAATTGTCCGCAAATTTCTAGGAATTACCACCATAAAAACAGATATTTTTATCTCTAAAAAAAAATGTAAATTTTTTTTTAGCATTCTCTGCTATAAAATTACAGTGCCTCTGGCCACGCCCCTTTGCTGCGCAAAGTGTGTGCGCATGGTAAATGCGTGTAATCAGAAATATTAAGATATTTTGTAAATATTTCCTGAATGAAAGTGAAACTGCCGAACTGCAGTTAAAGCCGAAAGATTAAAAATAATACACCTGAAACTACATGAAACTCCGGAGAAGACATAATAGCGTGAGGTCACAATGACATTAATGGATCTATATGCTATAACATGTAAAACGGAACATGATAGGAACATTCAAAAAGCAACTCATGTAAACACCTCAATCATACTGTTGTCTTATTGAGATTAAAGCATATCATTCTAATTACTGATGTCCATGTAAATGTAATCAATAACTTATGCACCTTAGATTTAGGAAGTTATTTTAGAACCCCAGAAAACATTGTTCAAATATATTTGAGTTTTTCTGATGAGATAATTTTTGTCATATTTGATGCATAAAAATTCTTCAAAATCATCAAAATCTGATAAATAAATCTTTAAAAAATGAATAATAATAATAATAATAATAATAATAATAATAATAATAATCGGTTCTATAAAAGTTTTACCTTACAGGAAACAAAAAAACTTTCAATATTAGTGGTCATCAAACATCACAATTACAGCAGGAGCAATTAACTGATCAATTTTAAATTTCTCAATATTCAATATATCGATATTCAATTTTATTTGTTGGTCCTTTTCTATTATTGATCTCAAATTTCAAAACAGATTTTTTTCTTTTTATTAAAACAACGCGTTTTGCATAAAGCATTACAAAATAATCCCAAAAATGACTTGTTCACCATGTGAATGTGTACAGTGTGTTCAAACCTCCTCAGTGCAGGGGTTCCAGGGTGACTGCTGTGTCCAGTCTCTGCCGCCAGAGGACTGAAAGAGTTATTGGGGGAAGGAATGGCCCTCCTCACCAGTCGGCCCCATGTCCCTATGCTCATCTGAGGGGCCCGCAAGAACGTCCTCCCTGCAGGCATGAGAGACGAGAACAAACACATTCATCAGACCCCTATATCAACCTCCTCTCTTACAGTAACATCAACAAAAAGCTACAAAGACAACAGCAGAACTTGAAGCAAACGTTGTTTCACAAAAGAAAGCAGTCAAATGGTGCAGGTGCAGAATTGGGACTGAAGCCCGGCCCTGTTGACAGGTGTGAATAAATCACTGCTCTGTTTTATTATAAACAGTGTGCCTGCATTATAAAAAGACTCTATATTTATAACTGGCCCATTATGAGTTATTAGGTCGAAATCATTGGCCTTTTATGTCTACTTTAATGAGAAGAACTGTTCTTAAAAATGTTTATGTTTTGAAATACAACAGCTTAAGTTTCTAAGTAAGAAGACTGGAAATTCCTCAGTATTACTAGTATTATCCTCAGTATACTATTCCATAAAAAAAAAACTGTAAACTGTATCCATGTTTGTAAAATGAATACTTGTTTGCTTTTAACTTATAAAAAATACTTTTATTTTTGAAATAGTGAATTGATGAAAAAACAACCTAAAATTTCATTGTAGCAGAACAGAATGGTGAAACATTAATTTGCAATTATTTTATTTTATTTTTAAACATATTTATAACTATTATTAAATAATAATAAAAAAACGCATCAAAGAAACATTATTTTTGTGCAGTATTGTATTTTTTTATGGCTTTAATGTACATACTAATAATAATAAAACATATAATAATAATAATTATTATTATTATTACTATTATATCATAAAACTTATGATTAAACTAATATTTGTTTTTTGCTTTCAAAATAAAAAAAATGTATACAAGTTTGCATAATTTTAAACAAACGTTATTATTAAGCATCTTATTAGACTCACCGCACTTGCAAACACAGTGTGTGTGAATCATTTACCGTGAAACAAGACACTGAAAGCACTGTTATCAAGAGCTGCTCACAGAGCAGGATCACAGTGCAGAGCCTCAGATAACACATTTATATAAATGTAACACACTCTTTGAGATTTGATCATCTTTGTAAACCATACTGCATTCTTAGACACTGTAAAAACATTTATATTAATAAAGTGACCTGGTGAAAAACACCAAGCAGATCACCATGGCCTCACCTTGTTGCTTTGAAAAAATCTTCTTCTGCCTTTGGAGTTTAGTTCGTCGCTCAATGACTGGATTAAAAAAAGTCACCTGTAACAAAAATAACCCATTTAGATTAAGCTTCCAAACTAACCAAATTCCACTTCGGATCCACCGGGCTCAGTTTCTTTAGAGAAGCAAAGGTGGGAAAACCTGCCCGGGGGTTGCAGGGGCCAGCGAGCGTGAGGAATTTCTCTTTGATTTTCCCACAGAGCTCTGGGCTGATAATCAGAGGGCTCTTTGTGAGGGAGTATTGATCGCTGAGAGACAATATTGTAAAGTTACCTCTGCAAACAGAGTCCCTTGTGGCTCAAGGTAAAGGCACATTCCGTGCCGCTGGTTGTCCAGGAAGTCCTCGAGTCGCAGGAATTTGACTGCACAAAGAGACCGCCAGTCCCTCCAATACACAGAGATCTCCAGCTCACGAGACTGCAACACATGATCATTCATCACGGCATGAAGAAACAACCGGCACTATTCCACAATCAAAATTATGGAGTATTATAACCATAAACACATTTCAAAAATTCTCATTTCCAAATCAGAAGATTTTGAAGCAGTTCAATGAAGCTCGCTTTTTAAAAAAATAATAAAAACAACAAAGTAAGAAGTAAAAAAAAACTACCACAAAAAACTTTGTTTGAAGTTAAAAGGTTTGATCTGATTATAGTTAAAGTAATCATTTCAAAACCTGATCAAATTAAAACTGAAGATATTAAGACTTTAATACAAATAGGCTCATTTTACAAGTTTTCTAGAGTTAAACAGATGCGTCTGATAGCAGCACTTTTAGCTTAGCTTAGCATAGATCATTAAATCTGATTAGACCATTAGCAGTTAGCATTAGTTTCGATCGTCCTATTAAAAGCTTGAGATTTCTGTATTTACACTGTGTACTAGAAATATCTAAGTCAAAGCAGTTACCTATATATAATGCTTTGTGCAGTACAGATTATTTCAATAAACAGAAAAATAATTCATGATGAAATTTGAGACCAGTAGTACAATTGATTGTACTGAATTGTAATGTATCTACAGTCATGGTACAGCAGCAAAGTTCCCTTATTTAGATTATTACACGAGAATAAGAGTATAATTTCTAGGTATATCAACCTAAAAAATAACAAATTTTCATTTTTAGTACACAATAGCCACGTTTCCGCTGTCGCACCTAAAGCGAGAGGAGCTAGTGCGAGCCAGGGTCAGTCGCATTCCCATAGTCACTTCTGGGACTTGATCGGGCGAAAGCAGGGCTTTCTCTGGGCCAGCGGCCGGTCTTTTTGGCCTGCCCAATCCCTTGTTCCAAAGTGAGCCAGCTGGGGCTTTGGGGCGAAGTGAAAGTAAAAGAGGCGGAGTTTGCAAGATGATGTGCCCCTGTCATTACACTAGTTTTTTCATCATGGACAAGTACATGTGGCAAAAAACATATGGCTGGTCAGTTTAAGATATTTCATGACAGAGAGCGGGGAGAGAAAAAAATAAAATATAATAAAAAAAAAAAAACAGCGCTCACTTCACAGCTCTGAGCAGCTTTTTTCTCTCTTTAGAGATAATACAAGATACAACAGAAAAACATAAAACTTTACAAATGACGTGTTCAATTGTGTAGTTTCATAGATCTGGACAAAATAAGCTATAGGCTACTGAACTCATTTAAATAATTAAAAAATATCGGATATAATAAAAACGTATTAAATAAATAAACTAAAATAAAACAAAAAAGCTATAACCATTTAGGTATATACAATACAAATAAATTAAACCAGTTTACGGCATTTAGAACTTTCATTTTACAATTCTAAAAAAAAGATTTGAAATATTTTCTAAAAAAAAATAAACAACGGAGTTTAGAAATTTTATTTATAAAAGATTTGGATATGATAAGATTAATCAAATTGTGTAAACAGAGCATTTTTGGGTGAGTAAAACCATCAGAAACTAACTTTCAATTCCTTTCTGACATCCAGTTCGGCACTGCTTTATAAAGGGATTGGGAGAAAAAAATGCATGTAAAAATGTGTTTTATGTCCTCAAACAAATGTTTATGCTTTATATGACAAGTTAAAGTTAAAAACATACATTTTTTATGTAGAGCTTCATTAGAAGGATATTTAACATTTTAAATTGTAATTATGCTTGGGAAAGAATCCGTCTGTATATGTATAGGCTACATTTCTTTTCTTAAAACTGATGCTGTACGCGAGCGCAATGATACAGGCTAGCCTAGATTTTATTACTTGCTCTTTTGTCCTGAAACATTTAATGGTTTCCTTTACTTAAGATAAGCGAATAATATGCAACATCCTTAAATTATTCTCTCTATAAGTGTCATATAGCCTAGGGAAAAATGTATGTTTTAGGTCTCTCCAGAGCATTTAGGCTGAATGTTTGACGTTGTCTACTGAAACAAGGATTTTATAAAAAACGTTTTATACAGAGCTCTTAACGGATAAATTCTGTTGATGGTGTGCTGGATCATCCTTTAGTGGCAAGACCACTCGATGTACAATGCCAACAGTCGGTTAATTAGTAACCAAATATAATGAATGAAAATACAAAGGCCTATGCGTATATATATATATATATATATATATATATATATATATATATATATATATATATATATATATATATATATATATATATATATATATATATATATATAAAATGTAATGCTGTACAGTAACGTGTAATTATTATTCGTGATGATGCAATGGTAGGCTTTATATGCCTGGTTCCTGCTGAACTGGGCAGGTTGTGTGACGTTTGATTTGTGGGGCATCTGGGGGAGCTGTTTGCGTGATGTGCTGCGAGTTATTGGCCTAACAGTTAAAACTCAACATGATTTCGGCCTCACTGCTCAACCTCCAGAGCAATTTACCCAGCCCGATAAAAACCCTGGCTCGCACTTCCCTGACAGTGGAAATGCAGCTAATGCAACTACAGGAGAGTCAAGCTTTAAATAGTTAAATGATTTAAACTTTTTTTTTTATTTGAGCAAGATGCTAATGGTCTAATCCAATTCAATTATTTTTTGGTTAAGCTAAGCTAAAAGTGCTCTAGGGGACAAGCAAAATGAGCCTATTTTGAAAAATGTAGTGTTCCTTTAAAAATAGCAAAAGAACAGATAGTTGTATAATATATATATGTACATATATATATACACACACACAACATTGGTATTAATAAACCCTGTGTTTAAACAAACTTAATACTGCTAATTTCAGCCTTTGAGATGATCTGATTGGTCCTCTTGTGTGCATTCAAAGTGCTGATTGGCTCATAAAAAAAACTCAGAATAGAGTTAAAAATAAATTTCTAAATATGAAAAGTCCTAAACTGTCCACAGCTTGAAAAACATCATATGATATAAATAAGCTGACAGATGAAGAATATGTGAACTCAATTTGACAAAAACGTGAGATAAAATCTAATAATTAATGGTAAATAAGCTTATGTTTACCCGATCAAGCTCCAATGTAAACTTCTGGTCCCATGACTGGTTACTGACAGGTTTCCAGCTGGTTTGACCCACTACAGTGTTGTCAAGCTTCAGAACAGCACTAATCTCATCTGGAGACAAACAGAGACACACATAAGCATAATAAGCTCCTCAATTGCCTCAGTGCTTTGCTTTTTAATTGTGCAAAGTCTAATGAAATGCTTGTGAAAAGCCACTGGTAACTACTCAACTGGACAAGTCGTCATTTTTAGAGAGGTTTCGAACGCTGGTTCCTCTGCGGTTTCCACGGCTCATGAAAGATGAGCGAGTTTCACTGGGGCTCCAACCGGGCAGCGGTACCGACGTGGCTTTAGAGCGGCCAGGCACACTCTCTAACAAATCCTGACATCCCATGAGCCGAACCTCCAGCTTACCTGTTTTAATCAGCAATAGTCAACATAGAAATGCACTTCTGTTTTAAAGTTTGCAGTCAGTAACATTATGAAAGAGTTTGCAGTCTTTAACTCAGGGATGTATAGGTTTGTTAAAAAGATTTTAATGGGGTACATGAACAGCTAGTGTTTTTCAACCAATGATAAGCTTCCGGTAAAAGATTAATAATAGGGGTGTCAAATTTAATCGTTTTCTCGGCGTACCGCAATGCAGATGCGGACAATTCGGTATCACAGTAAAACAATTCGGTTCAGTAATAATCATAAGCGGTTATTATATTACTGATGTCATTTTTCTCATATGTGTTATGTCACGGTAGAATACAATGGCGAGGGAGGCGAGCATGAGTAATTAAAACACTCCAACTACTTAAAAATACAGAAACTGCACAATTCACTGCGTAAGTTTGCTTTCACTGACACTGAAGTTACAGCAGAAGCCTCTATTTCACTGTGATTGAGGAAATGAAAGTAAACCCCATTTCTCTCTCTCTCTCTCTCCCTCTCTCGTTGTGGCTCTTTAACCTGCTGGCGTAAGGTAACTTTTTTTCTCCTCTCAGCTGTTAGAGCGTTACTTCTGGATACAAACACAAGCGAGTTTTCTCAACCGCATCTGTTATGGATCAACTGTGATCGCCGCTGACGTTTATCAGTGTTTATCATCGGTGTACAATGTGCCAGATTGTTAGAGCCAATCGTAGCCCTTTCTGTAGAGCATGCGACCAATCATAGGGGTGTAAGAACTCGCTCGACAGGGCTCATAAAGCGAGCTAGCGATATTTACATTTGTTTATTTTCAATAAATGCTCATGTTGTTCTGTGCATGTACTTGGGTTTTTAAAGGTTCAGTTCTGACTTTGTATTAAAAGACAAATATGTATTGCAAATAATATATAAAAATGAATATATTTATACATTTTAATACAAGAATTCTTGTGCTGTGAAGTAAAATATAAAACTGTGTATGGAAAGTATCGTCAATGCACCATGAAACAAAGATTTCAAATTGAACCGAATCTATGGCATGATAATCGTAACCAAATCATCATCAGTGTAGGTTCACACTCTCTAATTAACGTGGCTATTTTTTATTTTCATAATGCTCTTTTTACAGCATCACTGTTGTAATGTCATTAAAATACATTCAGTTAAATAGACCTACACATTAATTTAGTTGTTCAAGTGTAAAATGACATAAATGACCGTGTAACTGCTAGCGCCGTCAAGATCCTAGAGGCTAAACTCCGTTAAAATTACTGGGGTAAAATAAACTGTCATATTTTAAAGGCATGGTGAGGAAAATGTAACTTAATGCAGTTCTTATCCAGGCTGAGACCCATTTTATATTGTATATCTCTCAGGCAATGAAGATCAATGATTTAAAAAAAAAAATCAGACCTTAATTGTGAAAATTCTATAATAGAAAGATAGTTCACCGGAAGCACTGAGGGTGGAAATTAAATTGGCTGAAATTAAAAGTCTGTATGCACATATCCCATTGAAATATCACTGCAATTTAAAATAGTTAGAAAATATTACATTTTTTAAAAATGTAATTTATTTGGTAAAAGCTGAATTTTCAGCATCCACATAGTAAGTACATGCTGTTAATAAATAATACACAGAACTTAATTGTAGTTATGCTGTAAAAAGGATGCTGAAAAAGTGTAACCAGTATTTCTTATCAAGGCTGATGAAGCATTAATAATAAAAAAGGAAATGTTTTCTATTACTCTATTCTATTACTCTACTCTTTTTTTTATTAAATTTATTTATTTATTTTTATTATTAAACAATAAAAAAAATCAATAAAGAAATACGTAAGAATTGAGTATTACGTAATAATTATAATCATTATAATCACAACAGTAAAATTAATTAACTAATATTTATTTTTGCTTTCAAAAGAACTTTTCTTTTGCATTTTCTAAAATAAATTTTACTAAGCGTCTTGACAAACCCAGAGCACTTGCAAAGACATTGCAAGTGTAAATCATTTACTGTGAAACAAATGAAACACTAATCTCAGTTTTAAGATCCAAACTAACATTACTCAGAACTTCAATGTAGTTTTATTGTAAATACTGAAAAAGTGTAACCAACATTTCTTATCAATACTGAAAGCCTTAACTAAAGTAATAACATAAAATAAATTTAATTAAATAAAACAAAAATACATTTTGTGAAAACATTCTATTCCAGGATCTTCAAAAGAACACAAATCATCTGTTATATGTAAATATCTTTTTAGACACTTTGGTCAATTTAATGTGACTTTGCTGAAAAGTTATTTCTTTAAAAAATAAAAATAGCAATTAATAAAAACAACCCTGACCCGAGCAGAAACATAGATGGGTAGGGCTGGCCAACATGGCCAAAAATATATAATAATAACCACAATAAATCTCAAATTTAAGGCATATTTTGCCCCTGAGTAAAAGTTTTAGTAACCGGTCTACTGTTAATTCTGTTAGTTCTTTTTAGTCAAAACATGACATACACATGAACCAACCAGCTGAATATTTCACAAATCTAAGATGTACTTGTTACAATGATAAATATTCATAAAACTTGCTTTGAGTGATCTTAATATCCATGGTACATCTATGAAATAGGCTTTTAACAGAATGGTTCATGGCAGTGTTTCTCCTGTTTCTCAGCGCTCCTTTAACAGGCTTTAAACTAAATTACGGAGATATCTGTGTTTTTTAGCTGAATAAAAGAGTTTATGAACTGGTCATGTGATCAATTCAAGACCTGTCTGCATGTAAACAAACCTAAATTTACACAAACAGAGAAACTTTCTGTGTGGTGCAAAAGAATACCGCCGTTCAGATCACTAAATATTGCATCGAACGAACACATTTTTAATTTTATCGTGAAAAATATATTGTGATAGTTATCGTCTGAGTCCTGTATGTGTGAAAATGCGTTGGTCACCTGTGAGAGCTGCTGGTTTGGTGCTGTACTGGTTCTTCACAGTGCTGTTGTGGTTTTGGGTGGATATGAAGCTCTGGCGAGGACTGAGAGCCGGAGAGGACATCAGAGATAGCTCCTCCATGATCAAACTGCACTTCGGGTGGTTCTTGGGAAGCTCATTGAGTCTCTGCTCCAGGGAATACTTCAACAAATCCAGCTTCTGACTGGACTCATTGAATCTGGCTTGGGCCTAAGTTACACAAAGTTACAGATTCTTTAAAACACAGAAGCACTTATTGTGAACTTTAGTTTAAAAATGTTAAGGCATACACGGTAAAAAAAAAATCCATAAATTTTCTGCACTTTGTGATTCATTTTTTTTGTATTTTTCATTGTTTACTTAAGCTCAAGAACTGCATTATGGAAGCTTTCTTTCAAAAACTTTAACCTTGAAAAGTTTTTTTAAAAAGTGACTCTTATTAACTTTTTTAATAGTTTAAAATGATATATTGTTCGGATTGATGTTGTAAATTATGGTACAAAAACCACGTAATAAACTGCCAGTACATTTTCTGTTATTTTACAGACTTATTTCTCTATACTGCATATTATTTATTATACATTACATCATTTCAAACTACTAAATGTCAATAAAAGTAACTTTGTTAAACTGCAGTTGAAGTTCCAACATCAAAAGTCGACAGAGCATAGATCAAGGTCCTATAATGCAAGTCACAACCGTAAATAAATGGAAATCACTTGTGAATTGCAAAATACAAAAACTGGTACTTAAAGGATAGTTTTTACAGTGTAGTTCAACTAAAAAAATCTACTCACTATTTACTCAGCCTCAAGTGGTTCCAAATCTGAAAACCTCTAACCATTGACTTCCATAATAGGAAAAACAAATATTATTGAAGTCAATGGTTCCAGGTTTCCAACATTTTTCTAAATAACTTCTTTTGTGTTGAACAGAAGAAAAAACTCACAAAAGTTTGAAACAAGTACAGGGTGAGTAAATGATGACAGAACATTGAGTATTGAATATTGAGTTCCTTTTGTATTGGGACAACAAAGGAATTGTGTGGGACCCAGCATTTCTTTTACAGTGTGTGTTAGCAAAATAAACATTCTACATTTATTCCATGTGGACTTTAAATATTATTTAAAAAATAAATCATCAAAAGTTGAGTTATTTGATCTTGTATGACAAGTGGTACTTACATAAACAGTGTGCTAAAGTGTGACCCAAAATTATATTCCTAGCCTTAGCCAGAAAGACATTTACATTTTCTAAATCATTAAAAGTCTGGGTTGCTGGGAGTCCACAGACTCTAGTATATGAGACTATGACTATGTAGACTACATATAGACCATGTGTTTTTATGAGTTTAGCTTAAAATTGTTGCCACTAATAATTAGTGCTCACAAAAAGGATAGTATTTAAACTTGAAATGGAATAGAGGATTGGTTAAAGAATTTTGTTATATGTCAGGAACATTAGAGGTAATTAAACTTTTTATCATTTTATTTGTTTAGCTAAACTTTACAAGCAAATTAAAAAAATATTCTGGTTAAATAAATTTGTATTATTTTTTCATTACATAGCAAAAAACGTGTTTGTACAAATTGTTTATTTCTTATTATTCCCAAGTAATCAAGCATATTCAAATGATTTTTAATTGATAAATTACTTTATTCGCACATAGCATAAGGATTACATTAAAGTATTTTATTTCAAGCTTACAAATCTTTAAATTAATTTAGCTTGTTAATATGCCATTGTATAATGCAATACATTTTAATTTATAATATAATTACATATAATTGGTGAATTTTTATATTTCAAATAAAAAAAAACTAAAAACAGTGAGCTACATATTAAATTTATTAAAAAACAGGTTTAATTCTATTTTATTCTTTTCTAATCAATATTACACTTCTGTATAATCAATATTACACTTCTCTATACACTGCTGTTGGTTTGTGTGAAGGTAAATAACTACAATCATCTTAAAACTTAAAAAGAGTGCATTAAGATTTGCTACAGAAGAAAAAGAAGACGATGATGATGATAGAGTTTGCAATACCTCTGAATGAGCCCTCTTCTCTGCCAGTTTGCCGGAGCCCAGCAGCTTCATGACGTTCTTGGCTCCTTCGGCTACAGCGAACTCTATGCGTGTGTGATGGCAGAGCTCCTCCACCCGCAGGTCCAGCGGACTGATGATGGGTTTGGCTGCACCACAACACCACACATTTATTATTTTACTCAAATATGAATATGAAAAAGGTTTCTGCAGGTTTCATGAATGTATATTTAGGACTTTAGGACCCAGTAAAGAAAATTACATTTCTAATCTAATAATAACTTTAAGTTAACACAATATTTCAGCATGTTCGCTAAATGTAATCATTCTAATTTTGAAAAAAAAACAACAACTTGAAATTATCTACACTACTTTATATTAAAAAAACAAAAGAAAAGCAAATACATGTAAGATTTAAATAACTCTCAACTCTAGTATATAAAAACCTCTTTTGCTGTACATTAAGATCAGGCTCTTTCACTCTTTTTTTTTTTTTTGTTTTCTAAGTATCTAAAGTTTGATCAATAAAGAAATTTTTTTGGGAAGCAAAGCTCCAGATTAAAAGTCTTGATTTACACACATGCACGCACGCACACACGACTCTCAAGTGGTTTCAAATTTTTATGAATTTAGTTTTTTCTAGTTGAACACAAAAGATAGTTCACCTAGGGATAGTTCACCTAAAAATGAAAATTCTGTCATTTTTTAAACCCTTCCAAACATGTTTGACTTTTTCTTCTGTTGGACACACAAGAAAATATATTGAAAAAAGATGGAAACTGGCAATTGATAATTTCTATAGTATCGGTTTTTCCAACTATGGATGTTAATGGTTACTGGTTTCCAACATTCTTCATAATACTTCTTTCAAGACTTTACACTTAGCTGATGACTATAAAGCATGTTTGGTATGCTGTCCCGGATGAGAGCCCTGAGCTCACAAGATCCTCGAGCCTGGGGCTCCCTCCCATTTGCAATGCAAGAGTGGAGTTTGAGCTCAGGTAGGTCTCATGAACTTCCCCGCTTATTTATGGTTAGTGACAAATTAGGGATTGCCAGTGAGATATACTGCTGATTAAGGGTGCACTCACACTGTGCTATCCAAACTGTGCACAGGTGCGTTATCCGGTTTGTTTGAGAAGTGTGGGTGCTCTGAATTGGGCTCAGGCATGGTTGAGTTGGCCACCCTGGCCCGGTTGGAAGAGGTGTGCTAGAGAGGTTAACTCGGGCTTTGGCGCGGTACGCTTGTAACGTGAGTGCAAAGCACGCCTGTGCCCAAAACTGAAGACGAGACATGAAACAGTTCCTTAAAAGTCACATGGATTTATCAATCATTCTTACTGTTCAATGAAGGCAAACTGTCGTAGTTTATTAAAGATGCAAACCCCTCACTGCAGGACAGGTGCACCTTTAGCAAACCTCCTAATTCCTGCAGCACAAGGACTTTATGATCACTTATGAGCTTCAAAAGTGGCTGATCTTTTCAGCAAAATATTAGAAATATTTGACTGCATGACACTGCATATCAAATGACTAAAATGATATGACTAAAGTAATCTCTTCTGTGCTAAGCGAGAGCACTTCTCTTCTGTTAAACTAAACAGTGCATCATCAATGACTTAAGCATGCTCCAGCTCGAATGTAATGTGAGTGCGGGCCGTCGGGGGAGAAGGAAGGGGGGACAATCGTGCTTCGGCACGGTTTAAGACAACTGTACATGGTGCGAGTACGCCCTAAGGGTTCATCTATGGTGTCCATTTGGTTTAGTCAATTCACCTACATCGCATATTTTGGACTGTGAGAGGAAACCAGGGGACCCAGGGAAAACCCACGCAAGCATGGGGAGAACATGTACACTCCGCACAGAAACATCGGCTGGCCTGTAAGAGACTTGAACCAGTGACATTTTTGCTGTGAGGCGACAATGATAACCACTGGGCCGCCGTGCCACCCTATCAAGGAAAAGGAAGGAGTGTAAGTGTGGAGGGTGTGATTCTTCAAGACGAAGATGAATAAGGCAAGAAATCCTGGTTATTTATAATGAGTTAGGAATCATCCAATTGGTGAATTATGCGTTAGCTAATGCGGGACCAGCCGAGATCAATCACAAGCATGTGATCCTCTCAAAATTAGTAAATAAAAAAACTTCACTTTGTGCTTAATAGAATCAAGAAACTTAAACTGGTTTGGAACGAGTAGTGATGACAAGTTTAATTTTTGGGTGAACTATGCCTTTAAAAGAAGAACCAATAGCCATTAACATCAATAAAAGGATAAAAATAACATTAATACCAATGGCTACTAATAGCATTTCTCAAAACATCTTTTGTGTTCAGCAGAACAAAGTCAAAAAAGTTTTGAACAAGTGGGAAGTGAATAAACAATGACAGAACTTTACTTTTCAGGTAAACGATTTCTTTTAAGATATTAAATTGTGAAAGACCTTTTTTTAAGAAAGGTTTTATGAAATTGTGTGCGTTACCGATGACATCATTGTTGTCAAAACTGAGCTCGCTGGTCTGGCTGGCTTTGAGGATCTGCATTCGGATGAACTCGATCTTGGTTTTGCTGTCTTGAAGCATTTGCTGTGCCGTCGCAAGAAGTTTTCTGTCCTGCAAAGTCAACAACAATCAGATTTCATGTGGTGAAAAAAAAACCTTTGTTCTGTATATTTTTATTTTCCCTTCATTAGACCTTCAGTCATCTTTAATAACATCTTAGTGTTGGCAGCGCTCTCGTGCAGGCTGGTCAAAGGCTAAACATATTCCAGGGTCTGTTAGCGAGTGTGAGAAGGAAAGGCTTCCGTTTACAAGTCATTTCCTGGTTGACATCAGCCCTCGCTTAATTTCCCATAGGGCTCCAGGCCTGTTAATACTCCACATCCTGACACCCGTCTGTGTCTGTGTGTGTGTGCGTGTGTGTGTGTGGCCGGAGGGTATCAACTCACTGTCAGTGCCGCTCCTGTGGCCAAACCTCTCAGGCAAGTTACAGGAGCTGCACTTTAACATGTTATTAAAAGTCAAGCAGTAGTTCTGGAGCCTGTGTTTCGAACAGAGTAAATTTAGACATGTATAATGTGTGCTGGCCTTACTCCTTACCCCAATTTAAAAGTATAGGGTTACTTTTTTTGTCGAATTAAAGGGCACCTATGATGCAAAATCAACTTTGTAAGCTGTTTGGACAGAACTGTGTGTAGGTACAGTGTGTTCACAGTCATATTGGAGTGATAAATCCAACAAGTCTCTATTTTTAAAAATCCTGATGTTGAAATAGGATGCAATCGCAGCGATTTTGAGGCCCACAGCAACGTAACGTAAATGTGGAGTTTTACACACCCACCGAATTGACAGGCAAGTAATAAACTGTCTCCATAGTAACACATATAATCATATACACAAGACAGGATTTGCTAAGAAACTGTGATTAAAAAGTCTGTTCCAACTACCTGGGATTAAGCTGCACCCCAAGAGAATGAGGTTTACAATTGTAAAAAAAAACTGTGTGTTTAAAACAGTTGCATGTTTTGTAATAAAGAAAATCGTTATCTAATTCATAACTGCTGGAATGACCACAACTATAGGAGGATTATTTAAACACACAACAGGAATCCTGGTTTGTGGACAATAAATCAGGTTTATTTTGTACAGTAGCCTAATGAATATCCATATAGCAGTGAATATTAACTTGTATTCCGTCACATTTGTGAGTAGATGTTTAAACACAGTGGAAAGTTAAATGTGTCTGTGTGTGTATAATAATATTTGTGTATAATTCGTTGCAGAAGGGCTTGAATAAACTCCACAAGAAACACACTAAATAACCATATTCACTCATAAACTGAATTTCTGCTTCATCCGTGTCTGTCTCAGTCACTGACTGCAGTTTATCTGACGTAAGACACGAGAAACAGACACACATGTAAGAACGGTGGACGGGGAGAATCAGCTCATTTGCATTTAAAGGCACAGGCTACAAAAACAGCTAACATTTCCTTTAACCCCAATAAGTATATTTTCAGCATGGTATAATAAGTGATCTGGTGAGTATTTTAAGCTAAAACTTTACAGACACTCTCTGGAGACACCAAAGAAAAAAAATACACTTCTTACCCTTCTTGTAAAAGGTGTAAAATATCAAGTCAAGCATGAGTAATTTACATGTTAATTCAATGCAAAGACGCGTTTAGACATCCTGCGGCGATAGACGAGCAAATGGCATGGCGCGAATGACGCAGTACGCGTGAATGGCGCGGCACGAATTGAGCACTTTGCACGCTTCATGTTTGAAAATCTAAACTTCGACAGACATTCGAAAATCTAAACTTCGGCAGACATTCAAGCCGCGTTAACTAATCAGAAGCTTGCTCTTGTGGGGGCGTGATTATGACGTAGCACCTGTTGTTGATGTCCCGGAGGAAAATCATCCTGCCTACACAGACAACAGTTCATCAAACTGGGCTCGGCTCAGTCAAAAGCATAGCTGAAAGCTTCCATCATCTAGGTTAAGTTTCTGGACGAGTTTATGAGCTCACAGAACTGGGTGCACCTCTAAAAGGATCTAGTGGACTCAGACAATGCTCCAAATGAATCAACACTGTTTTTCAGCCTTCATAAAGCACATAAACACAATTATTGTGTCAATAAAAACCATGTTAGCCATTTAGCAAACAAAGCTAAAGTCACTGGGCAGACAGAAGCTCTGCTTATCACGTGTATCAGCGTCAGTTCTGAAGTAAATTTGACGCGCAAATAAAGCGGATTTGACATGCGAATTAAGTGGATTTTGACACGGGAATGAACTAAACTCAAATTTGAAGTAAACTCAAATTTTCACGTATCTATTTACTCACGAATAGTGCGATTTATCCGCGCATTCACGTCTGGTTTGAACACAGCGTTACAGAGGATTTTTAAAGATCTATTTCTTGTCTGCACAACAATGCCCTTTATATTTAGTCATTATTATGCTCATTAAAAAAAACTGTATTGCAAACAGATGCTGCTTTTTTAAACTGTCTATTCAATAAGGGGTTTAAGAAAAAAAAAAAGTCTGTCAATTTCAACAAAACGAATTAGCTGCCTAACTTTTCTTTAACATGGATAATAAATGAGCATGTTCATTTGCACAATATTTACTCTATTTAAAATAAATGCAACAGTCTTGATAAAAATTGCTGTGTTAGGGATCATAAAAACTTCTTTCAAACACACACAAAAAATCTTAAATGGAAGTGTATTGTGTGTAGGTAGACAGCCAAACTGAGTCTATACTGTTCTCTCTTGAGCTTTGTAAACAAAACTTGGCTTCTACATCAACGGTAAAAGAGCCTGAAGCCAAACAAAGTCATTAAATAAAAACCAAATGGTACATTACCTTCGAGGAGCCATTTGAATACATCTGGATCATGTTCTCGGCCCCCTGCTTCACCTTCAGCTCAATGTCGTTCTGTTTCTTCAGGGCTGCTAGTCTACTGCTGCTAGTGCATGTACGTGATTCACTTTTAGGGCTGTCCAGCGTAAGTGGGCACTCTGGGGGGAAAAAAAGAGGCAGAACTTTAGTGTTTAAAACCTGAAGAAAATTAAAGATCAGACCTCTTGGAGCAACCCTGGGTTAAAAAGAGATAATCTTATCAAAATCTGATATTTTTTGTCTTTTGACCCCTTCTCATGTTGGTCTTGATCGTCTTGTCGGCTGGTCACTATTATAGTGACTTTTTGCACAGTAAATAGAAACGCCCCAGATTATTTTGGTGATGCAATGAACTGTTCATCGTGTTTACATAAAAACGACTGGCGTCAAAATTTTAATTCACCTTCACACATAAGCAACTACAGCAAGTCTGGAAAAAAAACAATACAACTTTACTTCAGTATGTAATGGTGTAAGGCTAACTCACTATATTTCCAATAATCACTTTTAACCAATAAAATCAAAAGACATACATCCTAAATTTAAAAGCATTTCTGCAATATAATGCAATTGTAAGCAATGTGCAAGATAAGTCAATCAAACGATACTGGTATCTGTCTACACTAGAAATACAAGTTGTTTGTCTGGGCCAATAACACTGACTCCATTTACATGGACACCAGTAATCAAATTATTTGCTTTAATCTGAATAAGACAAAAAATTGATTAAGGTGTTTACATGAGTTGCTTTTTAAATGTTCCTTTTATGATCCCGTTTTACATGTTATAGCACATAATTCCATTTCCACTGGAGTTTCATGTAATTTCAGGTCTTTGATTTTTAATTTGTTGACTTTACTGCAGTTTGGCACTTTTACTTTCATTCAGGAAGATTTCATGCATGCCCCTCATGACAAACATGATATTGGATGAGAGTACGAACTGCTGGAAGAGTGTAGTTTTATTGGAATTTGATATCAACACGTCGTATGAAGAAAAAAAAACTTTGGTCCTTCACTGTCTCGGTAGGTGCAGACAATAGTGTCAAACAGCCATGTGTGTACGAACTATACTGTCACAAAATGCGGTGAAAATCCTACATCACAGTAAAAGTTTGATTAAGGTGTTTACATGTCTGTACTGCACTTCAATAATGCGACTAAAATCAGCATAACAAAAAATAAATGAATAAAAAAAAATTTTATATATATATATATATATATATATATATATATATATATATATATATATATATAAACAATTTGCAGTTTACATGGTAAAATCTTAATCAGAGTATTGTCTTAATCGTATTAAAATAGGATTATTGGTGTCCAAGTAAACATACTCATTGAGGATGGTGCACCAACAAGTAGCGCAACTTTACTTCAACTATACTTTGGATGTCCCAAGTTTGAACCTTCGCCTCATAAATCTTATCTTTTCTCTCTTTCCAATTTTGTTTCCTGTCTAAACTACTATCCTATCAAAATAAAAGGCAATAAAAATACCAAAAATAAAAACCATAAACACATTGTTTATTAGTAATTTGACTGTCTACTGTTTATGCACACTTATGCATGTTCAAAATTACAATCTTATAATTATACTTTTTATTTGTAATGGGGCCTTCTAACACTCAATGTGCGACAGGAGTATAAAACAATAATAAATAAATGCTACTTCATAATAGCAGTCACAATGACAACAAAATGCTCAACGAAAGGAAACATATGTCTTAGACATGCACGATATATCGTCGACCTTATCATTATCGGCCGTTAATTGCTATTTTTAAGATTATCATTATCGATCCGACGTCTAAATTAGGCCGATATCTTTGAGCTGATAAATTACGTAATTACTTAATCTCCTTCACATTGTTCATTCCTTCAAAGTCCGTCATTTCTTCACGTCGTATTACTGTGCGTTAATAACTCAAGTTAATAACTGGTTACTAATAAGTAACCACGTCCCTTATCATTGTAGATATGTTTGATTGTGTGTCATTGTTAAATGTTGGCTTCAGGGTTAACTCCCTTCTCGTTTCATTGCAGCCAGTGAATGAACGAGGACACATGTAACTTGTTCTAAATTATTTATTAATCTCTGTGTGGTACAACAAAATTAGTCACTAAAGATGGAACATCACTGAAAATAGTCTCATTGTGAAAAAAAAAATGCTCCTCTTTTCTGTCTCTCCGCTACACACACACACACACACACACACACACACACACACACACACGCAAGCACGCATGCACGCACGCACGCACGCACTAAACTGCGGCACATTTTACAACATGTGTAAACAAAACGGTTGTTTTTAACGTAATATGATTATTTGTTATTATCAACGCGTTGCTTGCCATGTGTTGTTGATGTAAGATTGTATTCAGTTTGATTGGAATATTTATATTGATTATAACGAGCGCGCGTGAGAGCTGTCACCACACACACACACACACACACACACACACACACACACACACACACACACACACACACACACACACACACACACACACACACACACACACACACCCACACAGCAGCACGGGGGAGAGGTGAATACAGCATAGGGGCTCTCAACTGCTCTGTGTTTGTCAAAGTCATGCTCAATGCAGGTTTTGTGTCAAAATGTGACTTCGAGGCCAAATCTGCACCCGCAGTTGAGTGAAACTCTCAGCAGTTTATCATAAACTTTTCATCGATAATTTTTTTCCCACAACTGACAGCAAGAACGAGCGCAGAAGCATCTGATTGACAAGCAGCAGCTACGTGTTCAAAAGAATCTAAAATAAGAAATACGATGACTTTATGCAGCATTTTCTAAAGTAATAGTATCTGTATTTAGCTGTTTGCTTGTACGGTGGCTCTGAACTGTCAAAACACCTCTAAAAAAAGGCTTTTTTTGTAAATTACATATTTATACATATGTAAACTATTGTAACATGGTTTATCCAAAACCATGAGCTGGTTTCAGTCCTTAGCTCTGAATGACTTATTAAATGGTAACCAAAAGGGTGCGTTTGTAACCAATAAATAGTATCAGTTAAACAATTAAAAAATATATATTACTTTTAGAATTTTAAAGTTTGGCTGCATACGGGGCCGATCACAGCAAACGAGAGAGAAAAAATTCTGGGAGGGGAAAAATAAAAAAATAAAATAAAAAAAATTCCCTACGTCAGTCATGCACTGTTTATTACAAACACTTTTGCTAATAATCAAGTTATTCAAATTTGACATTTTGAGAAATCTCTCAATTTATAAATGAAAAGTCAACAGGCTCCATATATGCCACAAAAATGTAAAATGTTTTCAACTACTTCACCACCGAACACTACTGGAAAGAATTTTGCAATTTTTTATTTCGAAAAAGACACTGGAAGCAACATAGTTTGTAATTTATTTATGCAATTTTCTGTGGCCAAATCTTCCAGAATTCTGGCTCAACCACATATAACAGGTAGAATGTTGCAACAAGAGTACCTGATTCTTTATTTGTCCTACCAGAACCACATTTAGAAGCTGCACTAGTCTAACTAATCCTAGCACAAACAATTTATGTTTTAGATTAATTTAATATATTTTTTGTTGGTGCAGCAAAATTTAAACATCTGTCCATGTGGAGCTAGAACACTTGTGTGTGGCTGCTTAATTCTTCAAACAGTTTTCAAGGAATGCTTTTTTGTGTTGTTTGAATGAGTGACTGTGAAAACTGAAATTATTTCAGTGAAGCACAACACCGCTTTTCATGTTCAGACTAGAAAAATCTACCCCCACTTCTATACATAAATGAAACCTGTTAGACTTCTGCTAATAACAAACAAAAACATCAGCTCTCGAAATGGCATATTACGCAACCACAGAGTTGGGTAACATGAACAATATGGTGGCAGGCAGATGTTTTTGATGGCATCTCTGTCATCTCCATGTCAACAGCAATAATGCCAAAATATTATATTGTATATTATATTATATACAATATTGCAAATGTACATATTGTAATAGTTTGCTATAAATTAATGATTTAAAGGGGACCTAATATGCAAAAAAAAAAGCTCATTTCAATTTAAACAGTGTTCAAAACCACACAATTTGGAACAAAAACGAAAAGGAGCTGTTTCTAAGAGTTGTAAAAAAGAAAAAAAGAAAAAGTGGGATATTTTGGAGTTGAAACTTCTCATACACACTATAGGGACATCTGAGACCCATTTTAGATCTTATAAAGAAGGGTATAATAGGTTCCCTTTAAACCAAAAGTATATCTGTGTGCCTACTAGAAGTGCTGGTGCTAATTATTTTTTAGCTTACGTTGGTTATTTGTCTAATTTGTTTTATGCAGCAGTAAAACATGGCTGTTCACTTTTAAAAGTTCAATTTCAGAACTTGCGATGCTTTAATAAAATAATATGAAAATAATAGATTGATTATAATATCTATCACTCTATCTATCTATCTATATATATATATATATATATATATACATATATACATATATACATATATATACACATATACACATATATATATACATATATATATATATATATATATACATATATACATATATATATACATATACACACACACACACACACACACACACACACACACACACACACACACACACACATATATATATATATATATATATATATATATATATATATATATATATATATATATATATATATATATATATATATATATATACACATATATATATAAACACATATATATATACATATACATATATATATATATATATATATATATATATATATATATATATACACACACACATACATATACATATATATATATATATATATATATATATATATATATATATATATATAGTCTACTATATAGAATGCACTGATCTAATAGTCATGAAGTTAATTTAAATTCAGTTGTACTATCTATTCAAGTTGTACACTAATTCAGATGCAACCAGTAATAGATGATTTTGTGACACTAAAGACTGGATTGATAACAATGGAGTAAAAATTTAATTTTCCAACACAAAAATAAATTAAAATAATTTAAAATATAATTCTATATATAATAAAACAGGTACACTGTAAAAAAAAAATCACCTTAATGTAAGTCT